AACATTTTTAACGATAATTCTTTGTAATTCCTAATTTTATCTGCAGTGATGATCATTTAGTTTGATTTTCAATTTGTTCCTTTTCTGCAATTTATGCCACCTTTCTGTTGATATTGAGTTTAATGCAAAGCAAAAGCAAAGCATTTAATGCGAAACTTCGATTACAATTTTTGCCCTAATTAGCTAGGCCTATTAATCTTGCTCTTGCTCAAATCTTTCTCAATTTTTCTGTCAATTCAGCTTGCAAATTTTCTTCCGTGTTTAGCTTGATGTTGTACTTTCATTCTCTTTACAGTTTATTTTATCAATGTGTAGAAATTCCAGATAACGAAGTTGTAAGATTTCAAGTTCACTTTTGACTTTAAAATGGATAGTTCGTAAAAAAATAATGTTTGTTATAAGAATGAAGAGATACATACTTTGAATTTTACATTTTTTATGATTCAAGATATTGAAACTAGCACTATTTCCAGAACTTTTTTTTAAATGATTGATATAATTTAACTTTTCCTATTATTGCATACTCAATTCATGCCTATATTTTGGCCATTTTGAATAGGTACAGCCTTTTGAGGTCCTCTTTGACAATCCATGATCCTGTCTGAGACTTATAGCTGTTCAGATTAGTACGAAAATTGCCCAGCAGGAATCTGTAGTCAATAAATAATTAAGTTAGGCCAAAACAAGACGAAGACTATCACAAAACAGTGTGCATACTGTACCATCAATAGGATGCTGAATTGTGTAAGGTGGCATTCAAATACCCAAACAGGCAGCCATTGCCTTTGCCGATGCGGGGAGTTCAGATGATATAACTAAGTGTGTTTTGTTTCTATTGAAAATGCAAAATTAGTCCAACGATGAGACAGTTGTTGAAGGAATAAAGCTACAATGCGGGATAACCGTTTGTTTGGTTTGCCACATGCTGGCCTAAATACGCTTTTCTTTGCCAGTATTAGGATGAACGTTGAAATAATGATTTACATAATCTTGATGGCATAGGCCTTTCTAACGCCTTCATATTTATGCATGTATTTTCTTTCGGAATTATTGTTTTTATTGCACTCAATAGTTTTTTGTGTAGTGAAATGTAACATTAATAACTATATCGCCGCAGTAATTGAAATAAAGGCCGGGTTGAAAGTCACAATCGAGTCTTGTGTTGCAGACGGCAGAGTTCTTAGAGTTGAAGAAGTAATGAATATTTATTGAAATAATTCGAAAGTAAATGTTGATTTGTAGCTTAATTTGGGTAATGTTGATGTGCTTTGATTTTTGTGAATGATATGAAAGTTGAAGTTGCACTACATGTTTAGAAACCAGTTCAATATAATCAAAATGATTGTCCTCCATTAAAGTTGTTTTTCCTCTACCTTTCCTAGAATATGCCGTATTCTGGAATGAACCATCAAAGGTGATAGAAGTAACATAAAATACTGTTAATCTTAAATCCGCTCAACGAACAACATTTGGAGAAGGGCCATGGTCCAAAAAGTTCAAACCTCTGATCATTTGCGTTTCTGAGTTTAAACAGTATATTTGTTTAAGTAGGTTTTAGTGCGAGATTTTGCATTTGCAACAAAACCTTTGCAGGTTTTTTAACTTTATTATGGCGTTTCTGCACTTCTTCATGCTTTTCTTGCAGTATGTAAAATCTAAATGTGAGTATGTTCCAACACGCAAATGTTGAATCTCTTTGCACCAGACAAAACAGCCCGACTTATCTGAAGTTCAACTTACACATATGAAAAACCGTATCAAGATCTAAAAAGTTAAGATCATGACACCATCAAATGGAGAATAGATAAAATATTACACTATCGCACCATTTACACTATTTCATTTTCTAAAATGGCCACAAATGTGTGGCTCAAAAGCGCCATCGAGATTAGCACACGTAACAATATATTGATTTTGTTGCAGGCTCTATTCTAACGCGATTTATGACATTTGATTTCTATTTTTCACATCCAAATGATGTTATGATATGCCAACACTACTACTGTTTTGCAATACAACAGAGTTGTAAAGCTGAGGTTTCACCCAATAGTGTTGAAACTTTCCTTTGATGATAAAACAGAAATAAAATTTGGAAGACTTCATATCAATGTTCAATCGACACAGTGTTAGCTGAAAGTTGAGGCTGTGGAGGGCATGCCCTTGTGTAAAACAGTTAAACAGATAGAGCAAAATATAATTATTGCTGACTCTAAAATAAAGCACGAGATTTTTTGGCCAAATGTATCGAAGACTGTTATATTACATATGAAAGTCACAATTTGGCTACTTTGTGGTGAAGCAGGGTGAGCCAAAGGAATGGCGTTTCTGTAATAGACTACAGTCACGTAGCTCGACCTTCCTTGGGTTGAAGTTCATAAAAGTGAAACTCATAGATGAAGATCAACAAAATGTCAGTTGCACTTTCACCTACTGTCAAGAATTTTACCGAGCAACTAACGATTTTATAGAACAGCTGAAGATTTAGCGACCACACCCCTTCATGTCCGCTACATAGGCCTATGTTCATAATGTACACAGACGCTATGATGGTAGAATTGCATTTTGAAGTGAAACAGTAACCTTATAAAAACTGTTGCAAAGAAGGGCCACGCTTTGGACTTCTGATGTAGAGGAAGAGGTCATAAAGTAAAATAGCGTGATAGTTAGTTGCAAAAGTTTTATATGAGCACACTTAATAACAAAATCAAGGCTCGATTTAAAAAAAACACTGAGAGCGACGTTAAAACATTTCTAGTCCAAATTGAAAATTAGAAGCTAAACAATGCATTTTTAAAGAATTTTACCAGGTACGAAATACTGAACTGAGTACGAAATACCACGAAAACTTTTGATTTGTGGTCCTAGAAAGATTTTATAGCATGTAAATGTGAATAATTAAAAAATAAACATCGAGCCTTAGCAATAAATTATCTGGTTCTTTTTCAAAGAGTGTATTGAAAAGTGAACGTTTCTTTTATTTGGTAAATTCGGCTAATTATGATTCCAGAATAACAAACTTCCTAACAATTGATTACTCCTAGAAAACGCCCACTCTTGAGTCTGAAAATATCCGCCCCCGCAGAGAAGCACAGTATAGAACAAAGATATACATGCTAATGATGGAAAGGTTAAAAAAGAAGGCTTTAAATGGTTGATTACTTGCCCAAGGTGAAGTGCAAATATCTAATTGAATTGGTTTATAGGAGATTTCTTTGTATGCCTGAGGCGTCGCTTTGAATATTGCTCGCTGAAAACCAAATCGATAAACCTGTTATGTGAATTCAATTGGTCCAGGGAATCTATTGATCAATATGAAGGCTAAGACAATATTAATAATTGTTGTTTGAATTATTATTCAGTGTTGGTAAATATCTAAGAAATTTCTACTTTCTTTCATGCCTAACATTAAGTAACGTAAGGGAGCAGTACCAATTCGAGCCCCAGTAGATAACCATTTTTCCAATGTGTAAAAATTGCTTAGAATTATATCAATATATAGCTGTTTATGTATCTTCTTGCGTATTTTAAATTATAAACGATTGGCTATATAGGTATGGCTGCAAATTCTCGAATGCTAAAAGCAACAAAAGACTCTACATGAAAATTAATTTCTAGACTTTGCTACTGATTTGTTTTGAAAGTTTCCGGATACTGCTAAAAGTAAATCTAAAGTTTGATCTAGCTGCTAAGAAAAGCAGAAGTGTTTACAACACGTATTCACTGCCAATTTTTCACCTGCACGTTTCTTTTCAAGCAATTGACAAAAAGAGTAAATAAAGTGAACGCAAGAATTTCAATTTACCTCGCAACAAAAGCAAACATTGTACAAGAAAAATCTCGAATTACTGAATACTGAATGCAAAAACACTTTGTGTAGTTTACGGAAGCACCAAATGATGCAGATTCCTACTTAGTTTTCATTCAGTTGAAGGTTTTGATTATCCAGCTGTTGACCTTATAAATTTGGACATATTTGCAAGTTAACGTCCTTCTGCTTAAATAAAAAAATTGCTAATGGTCGTAGTTGATAATGAAGTTCAAAATGGTGCAAAGGCGATGAAAAAAAAACACAACAAGAATAAAGTGTGTAGTTACACTTCGATGATTCTTAAACAGATATCATCTAGAGAAAAATGATCATAACATTAAAGGGGCAATATTTCTCGAATACGGATAAAGAAAATATGCAAAGAAATACTGAACATTAGAAGACCAGTTGAGCTGAGTTCCAAATGAAGTCATGCCTGCTTATGGATGAGTAGGGTTATCGAGATTTCCGAGGCTCGGGCCCAGGAGTGATTCACGAAACTGGGCCCCCTTAAGAAAAATTTCTGAGACCACGTTTTCCAGTCTTTTGGAGAACTAGGGTAGTACCCTATTTAGGTAGTGATAGTTTTTTTAGATTCTAAACAAGATGGTGCTACAACATTGTACTCATGAAAAAGGTCTTGCAAGCATCTTTTTGGCCTGTGATGAACTTTTGGGTACTGATTGCTGATAGCTTCACTAAGTAGCTGAAAGAATAGGATTTCTGCGTTTTGTTGTAACACAGACCTTGTAACATGGCATAAGATTATGACGGGCCTCATCGGTGCACGGGCCCCCAGCCTCTTGATGCTCCTGCAGACGAGATAAACGTCTTTCGGAGCTAAGGAAAAACAAGCATGTAATTGGGACTAACGTATCCTACAACATAAGCTCAACTATTTCGAGTCCCCCTTTTCTTTCGAAGTTTCTTTCGATCTATTTTTTGTACTTCGGAGAAAACGGTGAAAGTTTTTTTCAAAGGAAAGAAAACACGTAAAATTTTCTTGAAATGTCCCAAATATTTATGCCCGGGATCGTAGTTAACGATAGATTTATACGATAGATACGCGTTAATAAAAACAGTGAAAATTTCTTATCATTATTACCGCGGTAAATTTCTCCGAGTTAAAACGAGGTTTCAACATATCGAAAGCTCGTTGTTGCTGTTGTATTCCTATTGCAATTTTTATTTACGTTTGACAATAAATATTTCGTGAGCAAATCAATATTTTGCAGAGTTTCAGTCTAAGAATGTTGTAAGCACAGTTATGAATCGAGAAATATATTTAAGAGTCAGTGTTCTTGTTATGTACGTTTGAAGGTTTTGCACAGACGTTTCTGCACAGAAAAAAAACCGCGGAACGAATGCGTCGTCGTTATTTTGGCCTAAGTTTTAAGAATGGCGTCGTTTGATCCAAGAGAATGTAAGTAAAATTTTGCATAACTGGTTGTTGAAATGAAAGAAGTGAAGTTTTATTCAAGCAACCTGAAGCAAAGTATTCAATCACTGCCATGTTTACATTTTGTGTAGAACTATTGAATAGTTTCAAGTTATGACATGATGAGCAAAAAACCAAAGTCCTTGTCTACAGATAGTAACTTAGTATCACTGATACTGTATCAAAAATGAAAAAGATCCTAAAATTACTTAAGGGGTAATATATTTGTCTCTGTAAAGGCCCTCAGGGGTGACAGTATTTAGATTCCAAGATAAGAATTTAGGAAGATCTTTGACCTAGAATGTTATGCGCATGTGACAATTTGATTTGGTACATGATGTTGGCTTCCAACCTAAACAATTATATAATTGCAGTATGCTTGGGATATCTAGGGTCATTCCATATCAAATAAGTACAAGAGAAAAGCTTAATCTCTCAGATTTTGAAAAAAATAGGCTCAATTGTTGGTATCATTACAGAAAGGTGCCAATCTTTTATCCCCATCTAGACATCCCTTTCCAAAATATTGAATGACTCCTCTCTTTAAAAGTATTTTTTATAAAGGTATTGTCATGTGGGTGACAAATCATGTGTGTAATTTACACTCTAGCTCAGGGCCCCAAAACAACAATGGGCTGGGGGCCATGCCACCCAATTTTTTGCAATATAAAAGATATCTTTTACAAAATTATTGCCATCCAATTACAAAATCATCTGGAAAATCATTGCCATCCATTCTTCAAAATAACTATTTTGGAAAAGTTTGTTTAAGCTGGAGGTGATCTGCACTATTGTAAGCAGTTCCATTTTGTTACCTTTACTTGTTTCTATTACAATTGAACACAAGTGAAAACAAGGAAAGTGAAAAAAAGATAAAATTAAAAAACATTTAAAATAACACAGTCAATCTAAGCAAAAAGGGTAATGCACAATGTTCTAGCACTGCTGCAAGGCTATCTTTTACCAGTGGAATTTAAGCAAAGCACAACGATTAGCCCATTCACATAACAAAATTGGGCAACTTTTTCAAGTGTTAGTTTTTTATCACAATACCCAGGGCTAAAAAATTAGCATACCTGCTTACGGGCATAACTGCATATAGTTCAGTTCAGTTCAGTTCAGTTCAGTTCATTTCATTTTCAAAAATCCATACATACAAATCTGTTAAAATACAGCAACAGGTTACAAAAGATTGAATAAATTACATACAATGAGAGAAATAGAGAACAAGAAAAAAATATAGATGATTTTACAAAAACGAAGGAGATTTGCATGCAGGAATTTCTTAAAGGAGGAGCTCTCTCTATATATAGACTAATCAAGGAGAGAGCACCTCCTGTGGTAACAATCTATTAATCTAGTATTTACACCACAGGCTGCCCAGGAGGGAGCCATAGGACCAACGAGAACAACTGCCACACAACCTCCGCTCCCTCGAAATAGCAAAGACTGCCCGACAGCCATTCCCATCATAATTGACTTGCTCTTCTTATTTTCATCATCATTTGACAATGATTTTTTGCTGTCACTACAACCTGGTCAGGACCTTTAATGCTGAGCTTTGTACTGCGATGATGCAGGTACCTTTGGTATTTTGGTTACTGTAGTTATTGCAATATATTTCTGATATGCAAAATATTTTTAGGGATAAAGAAGGAGGACCCCCCTGTCCATGCTGAAAAGCTTCCGATCGCAAGGCTAGAACCAACACTTAGAAAATTTATACAAGTTGCACTACCCACAGACCTAGAACGATTAAGAAGACATCAAGTAAATATTGAGAAGGTATACACTGTTCATAACATAAATTTCTTTGTAATGAAAGGCTATGGGTTTAATTGAAAATATTATCAATTACAAGTGTAAGTTTTAGAGGATAACTTAATGTTTTGTTCTATCCTATGTAAACAGTTTGAATTTTTTCTCTGCATGTTTCCTTTAATAATTCTTTAAGTAAAAGTATGTCCTTTAATATGTATGTTCTGATATAATCCAATGTTAATTAAAATTCCCCTAGTTGAACATTTTTATCTTAATCATAATTTTTGTACTTAAGCTGCATACTGATGTTCTGCAACACTATTTCCTTTAACTTAATTTTTTTCAGTTCATTTATTTTCCTTTATTCCTTTGTATTCATTTCAGTATGTTTTTGCTAAACGTTGGAAAGAGCTGAATATCGAGCAGATAAATGCTTCAAGGACAGTACAGGTAGGTAACTGGCATTAGTCCCATTATTGAACAGATTTTACCTCCTCTGAGTATGATGCTACAATGTTACGTAAACTATATCTTTGTTATAGTATTTTATTAGAAATAAGAGTTGTTAATAAAGCATAATGTGCTAAATATTGTAATGATGCTGGGCTCTTCTAATGGGTCCATGAGCAATACAATCGAATAAAAAATAACAGGCAAAAATAACGTTTTGATAGGAAATATCTATTTGAAACATCACTAATAATGTTGGCAAAACTTAAATTATCTCAGCAAAACAAGAAGTGATAAAAAGTTAATAGACCATGAAATTGAAAATCAAGCACTGCTTTCAGCTATAAGGGGTATTTAACACCATTTCTTTTAGAAAGAATACACAATATAATTGATATTAATAAAACTAATAAGGCACCATCTTGAGAATGATGCATCAACCATAAGTTTTTACTTGACAATACCTGCTCTTGCTGTCAATTTTTGGGGCATTTGCTTAGCAATATTTCAAAAATTACAGAGTGCTACATTATTTATTTGCCTCCTTCTGCTACCTCTGTTATATACCTCTTTAAAAAGTTATGATTGATGGTATTGGCTATTTTCAAAAACTGTACATTTTTACTTTCATTCTTCGAATTTGGAGTAAATATTTGCTTATTATGTTATACTTTAGTTTATTACTTTCGATGCATAACAGCTAGGTATCTGTCAATACGTGTTGCAACTGCAAGGTGAGCTTAAAAGTGGTAACTTTACCATTGACATGTTTGAGCAGACTAGGGCATAAATACTTCAAAGATATTACTTTCAGAATCGTGGTTTTATGGTTTCTTCTGTTTGTTTTAATTTGCAACAGTATTTGGTTATGAAAGCCTATTTAGCAACTCTGAATCCAGCATCGATAATCACGTTTGAAACAACGGTCAGTAGAAGTATAATTGATGAGGTGATAAGAAATGCCAGTAGTTATACTGATATAACAAATGTTTGTTTCCTTTTAAAGCACTCAATCCCCTCCTCCTTCGTCTATAAGTGTAGTCAAGTAACCCGCTCTTGCCGATTACTTAAACCAATGCAAGCATTTTCTCTAAAGTTTTGATAAAATCTTATCTATTTCTAAGTAGGCACGCCGGAGCCGGGGGGCTGAGAGGGGGGCTATACCCCTTCACTTTTTTTGTTGAACTATGATATTCAGGTAATGGAATCAAAGATTGTGGGAGAAAATACCATAGAAGTTTGCAAATTTGTCTAGATCCCCCCCTCCACTCCAAACTATGTTCTGGTGTCCCTGCTAAGTCCAGGTTGATCAAACTTAGCAGGGACCAAATATTTTTTTATATTTGCCAACTACCAAGTTATTCTTCATTTAGGCATTTTTTTATTAAGCCAAACGTGTAATCCTTCCCAATGGTGATTACGACTATTTCAGGACCATATAATCGCAGGAAATCGTGTTCAAATCTTAGTTTTAAGCTTTGTGACAATAAAAGTAGGTGCGAAGTTTATAATAAATAAACTATGGCAATTTATCTCTTACTGTCACGTAGAATCCAAAGAGCAAATTGTTGAAACCAGCGAAAGCCCATTATAGAGTCTTTGCTAAATAACCGCTTCACACATATTTACCCAAAGATTAAAGGTCTAATTTAATAGATGGTCTTTTTCTGTGTACGTGTTGAGATATCGAAGAGAGTTTCTTGAAAAATGAGACCTCTGCAAACAATCTAAGCTTTTCACAGTCAGTTGATGTGGCTCATTGCGTTTCATGCCCATTCATCATGTGAACATGGGGCTACTTGAAGAATTCAAGCGTTAATCTGTATTTGTTACAAAGAAGTAATGTCTTCTAATTTTATTGCAATCTTTGTTTTGAAAAGTACCTCCGATTCGCATCATTAAAATTCTCATCTGGACAGCATTAAAAGCCCTTGACACAGAATATGCTTTTGGAAGCCACGCCTCTCACAAAGGGTTACATGAGAAAAAGTATTTCCAATTTACCATGAATAAGCGTAAAAAATATGAACTATTGTTGCCATTAACTGACTTTAATAAATATGCGTACTTTAAATGCCTTTGTGCATGAAAATGCAGGGCTCCCTTGATGTCTGGGGCCCTGGCCACAGTGTGCTGCATTTTTCTATAAGAACAATTCTATAAAATTGGTAAAAAGTTAAGTGAAAATTAAGAAAAGGGGGATTTTTAGCCATTTGTCGGTGCTTTTTCGGTGAAAATTCCAACTTGTTAGCAAATTAAGGTTGTCTCACTCACTTTTTTGGCAAATGAGGTCTGAATACCTCCCTAGAGCGAAGAAGCTAGCAATAGCACTGCTTACACCCTATATTTTAAGAACAAATTAAGAACAATCTAACCTCAGATTTTCGAAAAAATTAAGAACAGTCGTTAATACTGTACTGCAAGGGTGGGCAACCTTTTTGAAGAGTGTGGGCCAGATCCTTCAAACCTTTTCTTTAAGCGGGCCAAAAGCCCTAAGAAAGACGAATAAGATAATCTTGTAATTATGATGATGGTGAAAATAATGAAAATTTTGCATTTCAATTACACTACAGTTAAAAACCTCTCTATTATACTGTTAGTTTGCAACTGGCTGGCTAGCCTGGGTCTACAAGAGATGACTATCAAAATCGTAAATGCAAAAGACAAAACTGAAAAAATACAACCAGAATTAAAAAGGATTTAATTCAGGGTTTGATCCTAGAAAGGAGATACTTAATTATCCACCAATCAATGTTTGGCATCGGCCTAAGGTCAGGCAATTGAATTTAATAAACGTAAACACCAATTTGTCCAATATGGAGCAAAAGCAACCGAGACATGAAAAATTCGTGGCAAACAATAAGTGCTCTACTGCTATGCAGTGCACACATCGAAATTCGTTCTGCCTGCGTTTGTTAACTTTCGCCCCAACCCTCTAAGATTCTGCTGTCCTGTCTTAAGCAGGATGAATTCGTGACAACGGATAGTAAAAACTCTTTCCATGATTCCCAGGTTTAACGAAGATAATCTCATTTTGAATCGATAATTATCATACGCTCGGGATATGGTCCTTGCCAAACAAAACATTTTCAGATGACTTTATAATTTCACGGGCTACAAGATATCACTTCCCGGGCCGGGTTTTGGCCCGCGGGCAGTAGGTGGCCCGCGGGCAATAGGTTGCCCGCTCCTGCTGTACTGTCTTCATCGTGTTTTTAACTGGCCTGCCCGAGAAAGAAGAACAGGTAGCTCCAGTTAGCACGGCTGCATTCTAGATTTTTGATGTTCCACGTACAATGAATTTTATGGAAATATCCTGAAATCCTTGTCATCGCTGTCATGTCAAGGATTACCTTCCAATAATCGTAACACCTCAATTCTCATTCTAAAGACCTTTAGGCAGGAAACTAGTTGATTGAAAATAGCGTTTCCTTGTTAAAGGCGATTTTAGTTCTGCAGTTTCTTAATTTTCATAGACTATTTAATGCATATAAATGCATCTATTTATAAGAAAGTAAGCTCAGGATATTTTTTCGATTCAGTTTTTTGATTTTCTGTCGATTTGATTACGTTTCTCAAAGGTTTCTTAAATATCAAAATACTAAGAGCTACTTTTTAGAAGAAAAAAGCATAACATAAAATAGCATCAAACAGAACACATACACGAATTTCCTTTTTATAAGAGCCTTTTTTATATGAATATCACGGCTACAAGTTGATGGAATTTTAGTATCAATCAAGATTAATAATCAGCCTCGAATTGCATCGATGTGTGAGCTATGTGTGCTATGGTTGCTTAATTTTTTTGCCATCATAGGGTTCCGGTTTTTTAATGTGGTTTCTTGTGAAAAATGCCTTATTCCAATTCGTTGATTTTAACTAAGGAATTGAGTGTTTCTCCACTTATCCATATGACTGCGACCCATTTGATTGAGGCGAAGTCTAAGTTTCATCATAAAAACGAAAAAAGCCAAAACTTTCGAATTGAGTTTGAGGACATAAACCTCAAAGTAATATTGCATCTACATGATATTTTTTGCTGTAAATTGTAATGGAACTATTTTCGGATAATTCTTCTTGGCATTTAAGTATACCTATCTGTAAATGGGTAGACTCAAAAATTGTTTGGTTTTTCAAAAGCTACATGGTGTTCGGAGACATTTAGCAGAGATTGTAGATCAATTGCCTTTTAACTGCATGCTTCATCATTTACCAAACGTAAAATTGTGCTTCGAGGGGGATTTCTGTTTGGTATCCATAAAGCGTCAACAGGATGCTTGAAATCTTGGTTTGTTGTTGCTATTGGCATTGAAAGTGGCTTTTTGAGATGCCATAAGAACAAAATGGAAATCGCACCATTTTGACATTCTAAACTTTGACACTGTTATAGATGACATTGTTTTGAATTTATAAGGAGCCTAAGCTATATCTTATTTTGTGGAAAATTCAATTCAAATGCTTGTAAAAACCTTAATTTGTTATTGGAGTAATTTTGAGTTGCTCTCCTGGTTTTCCTATTTTCCTGGTTTAGGGCTTTCCTGGAATAGCTAGACAATTTCCTCACCTAGTCTAATTTTCTTAATAACCTAAGATATTTTGTATTGCCATTGTTGGAAGTTAAAGTACGAATATATATTATACATTTACTGTTTTGAATTTTGTTAGTTTAATCAAAATAAACTGATATACACAACTACGTTCTGAATAATTATTTTCTAAAATACCTATTTTTACACAGATTTCGTACATTGTGTTTTGAGGACCTTTACTCTAGTACATCAGCCATAGACGTATTTTTTTTAAATGTGACACAGTAAAGCTTTAATTTTTTAAATTTTTTTGACATCAGATTCTCTGGTGTAATGGCTCGTAATTTTTATCACTTAACTATATAGATATGCAATAACACGTTAACACGATAGATTTAGCAAGGTGTTATTTTCAATTACATAGCAACTCAAAGCAAACATGAGGGAGCTGGATAAAACTCGGCATCAAATCAAGGTTGAAGACTTGCCAGCCTTCGAGAAGAAAATTGCACCAATAAAACGAGAAGCTACAGATGCAATTAGTTCCTTCGGTGATTTGCAAGCTATTTTAAAAGAAAGACGGAAAAATGACAACTGTCAAGGTACACTTCAAATTCCTTATGAAGAATTATGCTCGAAATGTCCTTGTACAAAATCTTTTTTAGTTTAGTTCAGATTTTCTCATTCTGCTTCAATACGCTTATCTACATTGCTTATCTTCATTTCAAACTATTCTGGTGCTAGAGTGTTGTAACTTCAGCTGTTGTGGTGAATATTTCCAAAAGATATAGCGGTCTTATCTGTCACACGTCACAATGTTAGAGATTATTGTATTGAAAGTGATATTTCCAGCATATCAGCTGATATGTATAGCATGTTATGCTAATTGTGTGACAGAAAAGGTGTATAATTGGGATTTTTGCACCAGGTGAAGATGTTATTATCGGAGCTGCGTCATCAGAAATCCACTCGCTGTCGCAGACAGTGTCAAAGGCAGATGAAGCAGCTGCCAGTGCATCATGGGACGAACTCAGAGAAGTAGTTTGCTCCTTTTAGTATCATAACGACGATATATCTTCGAGCAACATCAATAAGCAATTTCATTCTTGTCTTAGTATTTTCAATTAAACCAATGTTTAAGAAAGCATACAAACTAGCAATGTACAAAATGAATTCTTCATCTATCCGCTGACCAGCGAGCCAAAGCTTTTCTTACGGAAACAGGGTGTGGTCTGGGCGTCATCGTTTAAATTCTTTTGTTTCCACTGAAATTTTTTTCTCATTTTTTCGGATCATGCAACCGGCAATTTCAAGGACTCTATCAGAAGGGATTGGAAGTCAACTTAATTTTCATTTAATTTGATCTGTTTTTGAAATATTAAAGGACAAATAATTTCAAAGAATTGTTATACTAAAGCGAGATGGAAAACTACATATTGTGCAGATTTAAAGCTACGCAGATGAATGGTCTTCAAAATCTCCGCAGAAAACAATTTTTGATCCAAAACTTAAGGAATCCTACTGTGAGGATTACAGCAAAATGTCCTAGAAAAGTTTCAAAGTTTCCTGCTATGACGAGTTTCTTATACACATTAATGCCCCTGACTTGTAACTTGTATGGATGAAGCAGTCACAACGAACACGAACTTGTTTTCTTTTTAGAGTCTAGTGGATCTCAACTGCATCATTCACCAGTTTTCTGACATTGTTATTGTGAGTTTTCATTTTCTTTTTGTTTTTTTCTAGATGATAGTTTCTATCTTTTCAAACGATTTTTAACATATGATTGTTATCAGGTTATCTAGGTATCTGATTATAAAGAATATATCTCCGCTATTGCCAGTCCTACGGAGTGTTTGTTATTATTCTGGGCAAAATGACACTTAAGAGCAGATGTTTTTCTTAAAGTAAGGTCGATTCTTTTTTAAAAAGAACTGTTTTATCTCCAGGCAATTTAAATCAGCTGCGAGCTTTCCACGTGCCTTTTGAAAATTGACTTGTTCTATTGATCTGTTCCCTTGATAGCTGTTTTCTCAAACAGTGACCAGATGCTGAAAAGGGGTCGAGTCACATAGGGATCAGTCAGATTTTACCAGCTTCCAGTGGATTTATTCTGTGTGCAGAAAACCAATTTCTGCTTTTTCATTGGACACTGAGCTCGCCAGGTCACAGTTCCCCTTAAGGCATGATACAGCGACCTTCTTATGCAAATAATTCTGACTCTAGTTACATAATTCCGATTGCATATACAAGTAGTGACCCGACACCTGCAAGAGACCTGAGATGACCTGACCAAACGCTTTGATCAAATTTTAACACCCTGCGTTTTTGTATCAGTCAAGAACGTCATATAAACCACTGCGCTTTTGGGGATATAAACCAATGCGCTTTTTGATAGATGGAGCAAAGTGCTATTTTCAATAAAGGCTGTTGGTGAAGGGTTTCGAAATTCCAGTTACTTTCAGATTGCAGTGCTTCTTAATCAATTCCTACTTTTTACGGTGACAGTGTGTACAGAATATCAAAACTTTCATGTGCGAGAAGTTACCTCATTTTCAAGGTGCCCACAGCAGTTACAAAAGATTCAATTTTCAAATGTGAGGAATCATTTTCAAATGTGGCGCTGCCCAGAAGCCTGCCTTTTTACTTTTTATCTGTCCTGGTGTTCCTGGTATTTTTGGCAGCAAAATATGTTTTTTACCCTCTTTGTATTCAGTTTACCAAGCAAATGTATTTTCCTATTATTAGTCATTAATATATTTATACCATTTTTACAGCAACAACAAGAAAAGGTGGATTCGATTTCTGATAATATCGAAAAATCACACAGTAACGTGAGAGAGGCAGTTTGGAATCTAGGACAGGTAAATTTTTGTCTGTGTTTCAAAACCCTTATAGAAAAGCAATCACTTTGTAGAGATGCATATGGAAAATTATTCACTGATGTGACCTGCCATGCACAAATGTAGTATTCTATGCTTTGTCCCATCAGCAGTGATTCAAAGAAATAAACATATAGAAACTGCTAACATATCTTGTCAGTCTCTAGATATCCCGACTGGCTTCGGCCTTAACAAATAAGAACCAATCAGATTGCTCGGTACTAGCCAATCATATCGCTGGTTTTTGTCACGGTTATTGAAGAAGTTAAGGTTATTCCAATATCGGGCGAATTTGTTCCGACTCGCTGTCACAGGCAGTCGAAGTTTGATTTACAATATGTTTGAAGTTTTAACATTTTAGTTTTGGGTTAAAGGTATCTGCATAACTGGGCTGGTTAATTTTTTGCAGAGAGTTTCTTGTCGTTTGCGTTGATTTTTCTGCAGTTGCTTTTTGAGAACTTCTGACAGGAAAGAAGCATAGTTGTTCAACTTATATGAATAAGCAGTCTTCTTTCTCGAGGTAGGGAACACAGGATCGCAGAAATTCTAGCTATTAGCTAATTGAGTATAAAACGATAATCCTATTTGATTCGAAATTTCCAAGAGCCCGGAGCTTGGCGTAAAATACTGGAAGCAGTTAAGTTAGCAAGATCAATCTTGATGCATTTAAAGTTGTATCGCCGATGAAACCTGACTGTGATTTTGTCATTGCCATCCTTAGGCCAGTAAGCTGAAAGCAGCCATGGTTCCATTAGCTGGAGCTGTTGTTGGTGGACTAATTGGAGGTCCAATCGGGTTGATAGCAGGTTTTAAAGTTGCTGGTGTTGCTGTAGCCACTGTTGGTGGAGGTGTTGTTGGATTTCAGGGTGGCAAGATGCTGAAGAACAAACGAAACGAAAAAGTGGAAATGGAACTTGAGAAGCTGAGTGATCGAAGCGTACCCCTGAAATCATTAAAAGATAAGACCGCGTAGCTCCCTGGTTTAGGGTTTGTTTCTGTCAACTTTTTAAGGTTGCCTGTTGCCTAAAGGCTAGCATTACAGTTCAATCCCCTGAACGTATCTGATTATGTGGTATCATCACAGTGAAATGTATTGGCCTTCTGTGTTTAAGGCAAGGCAAGTTCCTACAGCTTACTTCTATTAAAATTAAGCAATTATTGTTAAAATATTTATTTATGTTTATTAAAGACTCTGTTAAAGTTAAGAGCCAGAGGGAACCTAGAGAGAAAAAAGGTTTTAAGTGCTTGAACCTGTCCAACCCCTTATTGTTGTAGAGATTGTTCTCAGCAAGCTTTTTTCTTAGGCTTGCCAAGGGTTTTATTGGAGCGTTCTCAGGCGTCTACATGAAATATGGTGATGTTTCCAAGCAAATGTCTTTGAAACGAATGCATTTCATTATAAACTAAGGATTCTCTCTACTTGTCTGTAGAATATTTCCAGGCATTTTATAAAATAATCCAGGAAAACCCACCTGTCTAATGATATTGATAATTTATCCCTTTTTCTGGACACAAAGATAGATGAAAAAATTTGGTGTTTCGTTTCAGGATTGTGAATTTGCTAGTGACGACTAACATTTGTTTCAGGTTTTTAAGATGTAAGCTATGATCCTGTAAATAAACATCAAAGATAGAGTAACGATGTCAAAAATGACTGTTATTGCTACTAAATTTTAAAGAAAACATCGCAAAATGCATAAAATCTGTACTTATTGCTTGGTGCCGCTGGAAGTACTTCTAAGTTTAAAATTTAATCTTTTTGTGTCTGTTTTTGTCTTGATATTCGATGTTCTATATGCAAATATTAATCGGCTACAAATTTTTATGGAAGTGATAAATTATATGATAGCTTGGTTTCAAATTATATGAGTAAATCTAAAAAAAACTTTGTCGAGAAAATTTAAATGTTCGTTTGTGAGATTCTTAGTACTGGTGTATGGTTATCTTGTCCAAGAACCAAGGATTTCTTTCAAAGCTGAGGAAAAAGCTGATAAGAAACTCATATAACTTCCGATTTAGTTTGAATATAGGAAAGAATCGGTCAAGAAGTTTGATTTGACGTGTTTATGGGGAGTTCTAATGTACTTAATAATTATACCTTTTTGCTTAGAGATCTTCAAAATGAAACAGCAGGAAATGTGAAAATCTTCTAAATAATTTAATATTAAAAGCTGTCAGATTTAATGGAATGCATTTGGAAACTCTATTTAAAATTCCATGTGTAATTTTGAAGAACAACATTGTCATCGCCTGTTGAATATTGAATTTCATTTTCATCAACTTTCTTATGCAACCTGATATGAGAAGGGTTCCATGTAAATTGTTGCATACGAAGTTAGCTTTTAGCTGCGCATTCTGTTCTTATTTCACAACAAGTTTTGTGACTCTATCTTATAAGATAGCAGTACCGTTAGAATCCACATTTCTGTGTACCTCTACCCAAATCAACCGTTCTCTTATCATTCTTTCCTGAAGTATTCTATTTTTATTATAGTTGCATTGTATCATCCTAACCAACCCAATATTTATCATATGCTTTATTTGAAGTTTTACAGCTAAATCGCCTCACTATTCGAAAACTAATCTAGAAAGCATCTTCTTTCAACAACTTCTCGACCGAACTGTGTTGTAATGATGACTTTGTTGTTGTATCTTTCATGCAATCTTCACATATCTTCTTGGCCTAATAACCATGTGATACCATAGAAATCTTTCCCAGACAGCAATGATCGATTGGGCTCAACACAGTATTTTCGAGGAATTTTCATATTTTAAAAACCATATCTCTACAAAAACTTCCTAAACATACCCAGCAACATCGATTTAATGCCAAACCCCTAGCAAGCCAAGTCGAGAGCAACCATTATGCCAGCTTGTTTTGTATATCAGTTTTGTATGTGCGAGCTGATCTGTTGGAGAGAAGCATCATCGTAGATAATTCAAACATTATCAAAAACTATGCTGTAAACCATTTTTTGCTGCGGGAGATTCGACTGCCTTGACAGAATTAAGTACGCTTGTCAGATCTTACTTTAAAGTTGAATCTTCTTTAAACATGATAATGAATTCCTGTTTTTACAAATATGAATCTGAAAATTTATAAACAACAGCCTTGCTGCAAGTGTGCATTTGTTGTGCTGTTTGGAATAGTTTTGCACCGTCTTAGATAATATCAGCAAAGTTTATTTGATAATATTTCTAAATTTGACCTCGTGAGTTTGACCCTCTCCAACTTCCAGCCTTAGCAGGGCTTTTCGCCCATCTTTTTAGTAAAGATCTACTGACAACTTTTCGAGCTGTATCTATCCGTTTGTCTCTACCCTGAACCTCCTCGATGTTTCATGGCATCATTTGGCAAGCACAAAACATCTTGTGTCTCAAAATCAGACTGACATGGTTCATTTATCATTTTAATATTATAACAGAATTCGCAAGTGTTGTAGTACTCGGTGGATCAGGAAAGGGGAATGTTAATGCAGTCACATGACCAATCTCTAAACACTTTTTTAATTTCTGGTATATTTGTAGAATCCTTTTTTATTTTTGTAACAACAGCCCCGACAGAATCATACCTCAAAGATTCTCGTTTCCCAATCATCTCTTGTATTCATCCAATCTTTACATCCATATCTCTGATAAAATTAATGCTTTCATTATTCTAATATTTATTATCTTTACGCCTTGGCATAAAGATAAAAAGCTTCCCTAGTCATAACTATGAAGGGGGGATTTGTAGTAATTTCTTGAATGATATTAAATTTTTACATAATTTTAATAAAACTGTTGGAATATGTACTGATATTGTTTTATATAAGTTTGTAAAGAATGAGATGGAAATAGGGGGACCTTTATTGGGGAATCATTCACTTGTCGAAACTGCGGGACTCTTTGCAATACCTTTATTAACACTTTCGCTGATTTGTAGCATTGAGCCATCGAATATAACCTAATTCACATCTCACCATTTTTACATCTTATATTTGTAATTCTACTACAACCATGTCCTGGGTCTTGAACCAAATTTTTAATCCCTAAACGATGAGATGATGTGCATTCTGATTTCAATCACGTGAAGATGATTGGCCCTCCCAGCTGCCTTCTTAATGAAGAAATACCAAAGTGTTTTTATTATTAAAAAGACCTTTGTCAAACAGTTGAGATGCAAAACTAGGAGCTTTGTCTGTTCGGTTCTCTTATGAATTGCAAAAGTATTTCACGCACACATGTTGTTATATTTAGTTGTAAAGTTGTTCTTGCTCACTTGCATGCCATGCAATCCTCAAAGGATGTATTGTGCAATTCTTTTGTCTGCCAGGTATAAAAACTTCTTACAGCCTGACATCTTAGAGAAAAGTACAAGTAAATAATCATGGAGCACGTTTAGTCGCAACAAAGTTGAGGAAGTAAGTTTATCGTCTTACAATTTTCTTTTGAGCTTTCATCCATATATCTTTTCAGCTGTTTACTCCTTAAAAGCAATTAAATTTTCACACCTGTTTCAGTAACGAACAAACGGCCTTGTTTAAAGGATCTTTCAAAGGTTGTTTTGCTTACAAATTACAGGATATTATCAGCAACCATCATAGCTTCAATGTACAAACTTGACTGAATCGTTTGTGAGGAGAATATTTTGTTATACGTTGCCATTTCAAAACCTGCTAGGACATCATTTTGATGTTTTTGCAAGAATTGTCACACGATTTATCCTGCCATAACTTTTTTTACCTTGCTAAATACGGATTGCTAAAAAATTACCACTGTCCTCTCAAACGTCCTAGAATCCAAACTTAAAGCTTTTCAATCAAACGTCACTTTTACTGGATATTTGTCAGTAATCTTTCTATACACAGAAGATTTTAAATGAAGTCTGATCATGCTAACATGTTTTCTCATCTTTCATAATCCATCTCACAAATAATCCTGTTTCAGATTTTTCTTGGTCTTGATTGGCTTATGTTCTAAGCCATCTTGAGCCACTCCCGAATCCACGTTAATCCAATTATAAAAATTAACTGGATCGATGATGGACCTCCAGTTGAAAGATATCCCATGTCAAGATGACGAATAAGCATCACGTGATCAGAAGAAATTATAAGGCACAACAGTCTCATCGAAACGTTCCTACTTACCCAACTGTAAACAATTTGTGCGGGACAGTCTGCGTGTAAGAGAAATTTTGTTATCTATCGTCAAAGCGAAGTGTTTGACAAAACGGTGAAATCTTGTTGCTTGCAGCAATGTTGCCAAGTCTGAATAATTCTTAAACCACCGCTTTCAGCTGTGTACTGTTTGTGAACCTGGGCTTCCACAGATAATTTTGTGCTGTCCCTTCCGTTAGGACGTTTGGACGTTCACTTTTGTATTCCCGCTGCAGTTCAAACGACTTCTTTTTCGTGGACTAATCAGGGGCGAAAATCCTGGGGTTGTGGGGATTGTGACACCCCCCTCCCCAATCTCAAATATTGTGGATTTCGCAGGACAATCGAAGATTTCGCAGGGCGCTAAAAAGAATTTAATTGCAGCGTAGGAATGTTACCTCTTATCCTGGGTATCAGACTCACTCTATATAATTTTTTTAACATTATTTCTCATCTTAAAAAAACAGAACAGAAAATCAAATTCTAGCAATGTCTTGAAATGAAATATCTATTTAGAGGTCTTAGAAACAGTTTATAATATGTATTTGTGGAAAAATCAATGTTGAAATAAGAACAATATTTAGAACACCCGAACCGCAACTTTCCGAAAAGAGATCAATATCGAGCCTTGGCAAAAACTCTTGTTCTCTTATTAAAGTGGCATCATTCTGGTATAAACTAATTGAGCAGACCTCGACTATTGACGAACTTAGACGCCCAGAACTCTTTAAAACAGGAACAACGATGATTTGTCAATACTGAACTGAGGCAAAAAAAAAATTAGTGTCTCGAAAATCCTTAAAATCCACAAAATTTTACGTAGATTTCATAGATTATGATCATTGCTACTGATATATTCTCGTTTTTAATTTTGTAATATGCTCTTTTATAAGCTTTATCTGTCGACTGATAGCTGCTGCAATTTATTTTTCAATATCAGATCTCTTTTTTAAGTTTATCACTGCACAAAACTTGTTTATCACTACACAAAACTTGTTTATCACTGCACAAATGGGTTATCATTGCGCGTTGAAATAAACCCTTCAGCAATCTTTATGACCAGAAAGATGTCTCTAGCGAAGATGATTAGAAAGCAAAATCCAATTATCGAATCGATCAACAAAAAAGTGTACCACAGTTCACTCCATTGGTGTTTAATATGTTAACAAATTATATTCGCCTTTTTAATAACAATATAAAGAAAACAGGCTGTTGGGACTATGATAATTGTAAAGTTCAGAAGAAGACACCTTAGAAAGTACGTTTTACAACAATCAATAATCGTAAAGTTTTTGAAAAGCCTTAACAGGCAAAATGCATTAGACGGCTGGTTAATTTGAAAGCGTATCATCTGAATAACGGAGGATAGTTCAAAGGTGATTAAGGTGACTAAGTTAAAATAAGGTTGCTAGGTTGAAAAAGGTGTCTAGGTTGAAATGAGGTGGTAAGTTCTCCAATTTAAGTTTGACAAGTTTCCAATTTCGGGTGGGCCGTTGGCAGCCAGTGAATTTGTTATGATATTCAAACACGATAAAGCGTAGTAAGGGTCTGGTAATGCACGATTAATACACGCTGTAAGAGTCTGATATCCCTAGCTATTGTTCCCGAGCGATGCCCAGATCCCAGCTGCCGACAAAGAAGATGAGCTTGCCGACAAGTATGAAAATTCGCCGACGAAACACCCCTATATGACGAAAAGCTCTTGCTTTTAAAAACACCCCTCTTACCCTCGATAAGTCCAGCTTGACTGTGCGACACCACACTATATCCATTGATGTGAGATTTCTTGACTCATTTTCTAAATAAACAAAAAACTAGACCCTTGGAACATGAAAATCTTTTTCTTTTGTTTTGTGTTTAACTGACTGTGTTTTGTGTTTTGTGTTTAATCTTAGCAAACCGATAGTGCACTGAAAGCTTTAAATAAAACAAAATGAATTGAAAAAAATTACAGAGAAGATAATGGGAAATGCCGTGAAATGAAAAAAGGTAGGAAGGTTCCAAATTTAGACTCTTTTGAGTCCCTAGGTATCAGCTTTCCAAACAGCTTGAAGAAGGAATTATAATAGACGATTTTAACCTCAGTAGGTCTCATAAAGTACGCCTGTTTTATTTTTCATACTACATTCACTCATATTTCTATAAGAGCAGAAGGAAACCTTTCTTGTGCAATTTTCCCTCTTTTAATAACACATAGGACTAAAACTAATTCAAAGCACGAAATTAATGTAACAATATCCATGCATAGCTTTATCTCAATCCTATAATTCCATTACATCTCATGCAACTCAAAGATTTTTCAACTATTATGAAATGTAGTAAAGATATACAAAAATTTCTTTTCTAAGACACCTTTGATCCGTCTACTTTTTCTTACAGTTACCTTCTCAATTGAATATAGATCCTAACACTTCTATCACTGGTAGGAATGTTGACTTGGAATACAAGAAACGAAAATACAGCATTTTTAACATTATCATAAAACTTTATGTAACCTTAAAAAGATTTTTTAAACATACAAAATGCACTGTAATACAGCCAAATCCATGGCAAAAACTTGGGGTGTATTATATAAATAACAACGGTCACCCAAGTGGTAAACTGGGTCACACGAGGTAAAAGGTATCAGCTTTTAGCTCCGATTGTTTCAAGACTGTTATTTCATATATATGCATTGAGAAGGGATGGTGCGGATGTGGGGTTCTAGAATACTGCCTTGTTATCCCATTAAGCTGTTACATACCTTTACGCAGAAATAATAAATTCAATATCTACGTATCAAAATATTTTCGTTTCACTTGCATCTCCTTTTATTAAAGTTCGTCTCTATATCTTAATAAAGTGTACCTATTCTCGCTTGGCAATAATTTACTAAATACAGTCTCAGGAGGACCACTTTTGGCACCACTTCCACTCTCATCGTAAGTCGATCCCGCTTGCTCCTGGCTAGCTTTGTCAGGGTGTTCTGTCTTTTGCTCCACCTGTGCATCGCCTTCTCCAGCCTGATGTAAAGAGCGACAAATTTGAAAAAAGAGCCAAAACAAAGTTCTTTTACTCTAAAGATTCCACTTAAGTTTACAAAACATTACACAAAATATTAAAGTTTGTCCCGAAGATCCAAAAGGCGTTGGAGTATTCAGTTCCATCACTCTGGACCTGTATAAATTCCATTACGAATAGCTAAGAGAACTAAAAAGTACTCAACGCAAAGCCGCTATAGTTGGTAATACCTTCTCTAAAAGCACTCGAATAACGACTCATTTAAACTGGCAATCATACTTTAAGGTTTAAGGACTTTGTGTCTGTTCATTTCACTTCCCAAGCTTAAAAAATATGTATGGTAGGTAGAGTGTAATGAGATATCGTTAGGTTTTTTCGAGTTTACCTTGAATGCTGCTATAAGTTCAGATTTACAAAATATAAGGACGGCAAAAATGCTAGCAGATTCGGTAAAATCAACGGACATACCTCTTCGTGAACCTCTATCTGAGGAGGTTCTGTCGGGTCAGGCCCATTGTGGTACTCTCTATGAAGTTTACCCGAGTGAAGATCATCGATAAACTGTTGCAGCTTGCCAGGGGTACTATGGATAAACGAACAGTTTGTTAGCGTCAATATCTGATATGATAAACATAACGAAAAAACGTTTGGTGCAAATAGGTTTGGTTGAAGCTGTTATAAATCTAATTTTTTAAGGATTTCTGCTACACAAGGAACTGACCTGGATGTCTTTGCTTTTCAGGACAGCAACAATACTCGGTACGGGCGGAGAAGAAAGGTGGGTTTTTGAAAAAAGTTGTAAAATTAATAAAGTGGATACTTATTAGCAGAAGCGTAATTTAAGACTTTAAAATTTACTAAAATTTAATTGATTTTAATGACATATGCATTACTTACTTGATATCTTCGAATTTAGGAAACAGATACATGTGTCTGAAACTGTCGATTGCTATCATTGGTAGATCCTAAAAGGGAAAATAATATTGTGTAAAAACAATGTTTGTGCACTCCATGGAATCTAAACCCGTTGATTAAGGGATTTCTAAAAAAGGTTAAAGCCTTCCATCCACTTTCATGTGTACGCCTTTTACTAGGAAACGATCATTCAATTTCTAATCATGCAAAATCATAACACTTTTGGCAACGCAAGCCAACAAAGTCTGTCTCAAGATTGGAGCCTTTTGGAGCCCCAGATCAAGGTAACCGATCACAGTGAGATCAGACACGAATCACAACGATCTCAGTGACAAACAACCATATATGAACACCAGTAGCTTCGACGCTACACAGATTAAAATCCCAAGGCGGTATAACCTTGCCATCTTGTGTAACCTTGTTTGAGCTGTCGTCAACTGCGAAGGTAATATGACTGCTATTAACTATTTATAACCCTAAGAGCTGATATGATCAAAATACAGCAGTTTTAGATGAACTTAACTGTTAAGCCATCATGTGGAAAAGAACTGTTTACCTGTTCACTTTTTTCCAGATGATGGAGTGGATGTGAGAATCTGGTTCCATCCGCATGTAGGAAGTTGATTCTCTCTGTTGAAGGAGAGCAAAGCAGTGAGAAAGTCAATCGTTAAAAAGAAGTCTGTTACATTTAATAATTAAGGACAGAAATTTGATGCGAATAGAGACAGGCTGAAGAAAAAATTATCATTTAAAAATCAGCAATCAAAGCTCATTTAATGACCATAAAGTGTAAAAAATACTAGCTTTCTGAATTTTTTGCCGTGCCCTTTGCTCTTTAAATTTTAAATACACAGTATAATTCTTAATTTGTTTGAAACAAATTACTATAAAGACCAAATTCAGTGTAAAAAAAATCGAATTACTTGGGGAAGTCTAGACCCGCTGAGAAGAAAAATAGACGGGGACATGGAAGTCAAAACCAAAGGGTCGGGGACGGGGGTCGTGTGCGTATATCACATAGTGGACGGTATTGCGTGTTTTCATTGGAGCTTCTTGGTCCAGTAGAACAAAATAACAAATGCAATTAGAAATGAAAATTTCGGATTCCAAATCCCAACGAAGCTTATCTAGAACTCGGTCTAAGCAAAACATTTTTTAACCAATAAACCAGCGTTCAAATTAGCTCAGGGGGTTCTCCAAAAATCTATCCTCGTTTATATTCGCCCTACGAGTTTGTGTAATAACAATTATTTTATTTCTGATAAACACATCTAAGAGTTCACGTGCTTGGGTTATTTCTACTGGTAGAATGCAAACCTACCTTTTTCGTGGTATAACTCTTTCGCGATTATATCCTTGAATTTTTTTATACTTTCAGTGTCTTCTGGCCGATGAAAGAGCAATAAAAATGGCAGTCCTTCTTCAGTAAGTTCTTCACCATTTTCAAATGTTATTTCTCTGACAAGTGGTACGCATTTGTCATTGACCCAGGCTTTCAACAGCTCAGACTTCAGCAGATCACCAGTGTATATAAGATCTTGGTCTACCGGGGTCTGAAAGATTTTTAGTTACATAAAACCAATGTTGCAAAGAACGGTTAGAGTCAGAAAGAATTCAGAAATTGCCTCGACCTTCCTTCGGGTGAAACTTTTTTTTTTATCCAACATTTAACTGGTATTTTTTTAATCAAAGTCTCTAAGAAATGGACTTTAAATAGAACCGTCTATGGTTTGCTTTGTCAGAAGCAAACCATAGATGATTCTATTTGATTCTATTCCATAGATGATTTTTTTCAGCTTTGTCAGAAAAAAAAAGTTTAACCACAACAGTAAATTCCTCTCACTTAATATCCTCTTGCTTAGTTTTGCATTTGCAATGCTCGTATGTACTGCATCATTATATGGACTTCCTCATTTGGAACTCACAACAACTGCCAACTATATAAATTCGCAACATCAAAATGCGGGGTTCGTCGAATAAACAAAAAGGAGAAGCTAGAATCTATTCAATAAAAATACTCACCATATCTTAGAAAGCAGAAAATGAATGAATAATTATTATCAAACGTTGCACTTGCAATCATCTGAAGTGAAATGAGTTTTATCCATGCAATTGAAAGTTAAAAAGTAAAATTGAGAAAATACGGCCAACAAGGACACAATATAGCGATTCTGACATGTTTTGCTTGTAAATTAACCGATATTGTAAGGCAAGGAGATACCGCGAAGTATTATGAGGACCTAGCCCACTGGGATATCAAAGAAACGGAATGCTCAATTGCCAAATTATATTTCAGCTTACCTGCTTTGCACGGAATACAACACCATCTCCAAGTGCCCTCTCCTTCTGCGATGCTTCGCTAAAATGAAAGGATGGATACAAGTTAACGGAATTCAAACCTTTGTAACAAGACCCTACATCGACCAATAAACTTCTGTGATGCGTATGGCCTTTGACTGGTTCATTATTCCCAAAATTTTGAGGCAAAAGTTTCTTCAAAAAATATATATAGCGTAAGCATAATAATAGAAGATAAAAATACCGTTACAATTTATTGAAAACAGATGCTGCTTAACTTATTAATAAAAATGGCTCAACGGTTTTTTGAAAGTCAAAATGGTTTGGAAAACGCAGACATTTTGAAACATACTTTAGCTTTTTGTCTGATAATCTTCAGCGAATATAACGTGATACAAAAAAATGATTGAAACTCTAAGCTAGGAAATATATATACCCAGTTACAGGTCCAAACTTTGTGCCCAATCAGTGCCGCTTGCCAGTACTGTTTTATGCTCTGAAGAGGGCCGGACAAGAAGTCTAAGTATGATTTTAAATGTTTGCTTTTTCAAAGCCATTTTGAGATTCTGTTCCGCCAAAATAGTCTATGGAAATATAAAACATGAAACATACCCAAAGCCAACCCAAAAGTCACAGTCATCCCGTAGTTCATCTGCAATCTGAAAATGGGGATAGGAAATTCATTAGTGAGTCTAAAAATAGCAAGCTATCACAGACAAACAAGGAACAGAAACAAATTTACATCTTTGCTTCTTGCTGTTACTAATAAAAAGACAGTGTTATGCACTGTAAAGTATTCTTTTTGTCAAAATCTTGGTAAGGCCAGCCTCCAAACATGACATAACTATATTACTATTCGTAAACTTACATAGGATGACCAACAAATAATGGTTGCATTTTTACACTATGCAACCATTGTTTTTTACACGTGCTATCATAGATTCCTTTTCACACAAGTGACTTACCTTTTCGAATACTTTGTAATCTTCAGAAGTTCTTGATTCAAAGTAACCAAAAACACTATTTCTTTTTGTCTAAAAAAGCAAGAAAAATTTAATTGGCTAAACAAAAAGTCAGCTAAACAAAAAACATCAAATGAATAACATTTCAGAACGTCAAATCCAAACATATTTCAAAACAAATGCCTCATCTGAAGACCTCTTGTTCGGTAGCATGAGTCAAATATCTTTGAGAAAGAAGCTATGGGATACACGAGCCTAGTTTATGTTTTCATAAACTTTTGAAAGCCAAACGTATAGTTATTGCCTTGCAAATTCATCAAACATTGCTGGTCTCAAAGCTGACTTTTGGTAATTTACCAAGGCAGAAAATAACTTGCAACAAACAGAACTTACATCTGGGGTAAAATCTTCTTTCGAATGATATTCCTTTACACTTGGTTTCATTTCCTTTCTGATAAAATTTGTAAAAGCATCGACTGATCTTTGGCCTCTGTACTCTTTTCTCATGGGCTAAAGAGAGAAGAAAAGTTTGTAAAATGTGCCTAACAAATTTACCACAACAAAGTTTTTTAAATTACGAATTAGATTTAACTGAATGTGGTGGAAAGGTACATGTTTAACAAACAATCTGCCTTAAAACGTATCATAAAACAATGTGCTTATTAAGAAAATAATTCTGGCTGAATGACCCTCATTTATATATTGTGAAAGTGCAAAACACTTGACACTCATTATGGTGAATTCCCATACTCTCAAACTTTCGCTTTCTTTTCCATAATTTCTTTCCACTTCCCCTTACTTTGATATATCATCTTGAGCTCAGTTATATATATTGTGGGAATGGAATTAAACCAGAAATGAAAACAGATGACCATGGAATCATATACTTAATAAAATGAGACTTTGATTAAATTAGCCAAAAGTTATCTTAAACTTTTTTCAGTGCTTTATAACTAATCTCAAACTTAGTTAAAAAAGTTAGGATTTTGATGGGACATTGGCTATTTCAAACATTGGCTGGAAAAAAGCTCAGTTCTTATCAGTTCTTATCAGTTCAGAAATCTGGAAAAAAGCTCAGTTCTTCTATAAAGTTTGAGATAGCTTATCTCAACTGTTGCACATTTTTATGATCTTAAAAGTACATCTTGAGCCAAAAGGAAAGAACTCAAAACTTCCTGTCACAGAATTTTAAAGGGGCTGGGTCACGTAACCTTAACATTTTGTGCGGGACAGTCTGCTTGTAAGATGAATTTTGTTTACCAATCATCAAAGCAGAGTGTCTGACAAAATGGCAGGCTGTGAAATCTTGATGCTTACAGCAATGCTGTCAAGTCTGAATCATTCTTAAACCATTGGCTTTCAGCAATGTGTACTGTTTTGAACCAGGGCTTTCACAGACAGATGTTTATGTGCTGTCCCTTTGGCTAAACAGCCTGTTAGGATGGTCATTTCTTGTGTTTCTGCTGCAATACAAACAGCTTTTTTTGTGTGGATTGATCAATGAAATGATGTTGAGCAATACGTATAAATAAAATCTTTGGTAAAATCTTCAAGGCCTTTGAATTAATAATTTTTTTGTAACAAATGACATTAGGATCTTCCCGATGGGCTGTGATTCTCTGTCCTACCAAATCTCATTTCAGCTGATGTGGTGGATTCAACCCATTCACAAGCATCCACACAAAGACATTGTCCCGCAGCCTTACACATGACCCTGTCCCTTTAAAGAACTCAGATTTATCTTAATCCATGTACTTCTTGGCAAGGTTAAAGCTATCAAATCCAGTTCTGCCTCATCCAAATGACTTCCAAGTTTTCAAATTTAAAAAGAAATGAAGCAAAAATTTTTTTTTCAAAATGTTATTTCAAAAGACTTTGATCAGCATTTTGGATTTGAATCACAGTGATTTTCTGACCAATTCCATGCAAATAAGCATCCGAAGCAAATATACCATAAACGTTTTTGCATGGTTTCACTGTCTGATGATATGAAACTTAAGCATAATGTTACAGTTACCATAAGAAACGGATTTGTACAGCAACTGCAGATGGAGCCATAAGTGGCTAAGAGCAAAAACTGGCCAATCTCACCACCAGTGAAAAAACTAACTCATTTACAACCTGAAATGTCATTTTATTAAAAAATAGGCTTCTATCAAATAGATATTTTATATCGTTAGTTAACATTGTTTACACGTTTATCCATATACATACCTTTCCATTTCTGAAAATTTTCAAAGTTGGATACTTGGAAATTGCATTATCTGATGAAATCTGATGCTCTGTTTCACAGTCAACTTTTCCTAATGCTGCAGAGTCCTGTGAAGTCAATTAAATACATATTAAAATTACAAAAAGGCGTTCACAGAAGGGTAAACATAATACATACAACATCTACAAAAAAAGAACTGCTATAAATTGAGCCACACACAAGAAAATGATTCTGTTATGAGAGATATGTCAACAGGGCCACCCAGAAATAATCGTAGCATGTTTTACATTAAACAAAATAATACATATAGTGAAGGGTAATGAATATTATGTTGGAAAATTATCATCACGATCTACTGTAAAATAAAATGGGTTGAAATGTAATAATACTTACTGGATACTCTTCCTTAATTATTGCAGCTGCCTGGTCAAAAATGGGAGCAAGCATCTGGCTAAATCTGCACCTGTAAATTTAAATTATCCCTTTAATTTATCTGTGGTTGACAGAAACCTTTTAGTAGCTTTATGACCTGCAGTCAAGAGCATAAATTAGAAAATTTTTTGGATGAAGTATTCATTTCCTAAAAGCCCTATTAGTGGCTAGAGAAGCTTGTTGAATTCTGTAGGTTTTAGATGATGGAAAAAAGGTGGTGGTTATAATAGAAAGGTTATGATAATGGAGAGCTTATTCTAAACATTAGAGAAAACATGATGTCTTAACAGTTGTGATATATCTCTGTGATTTTCAAGATTGTGCAGTAGACGAGAGGTTAATAAGGCATTGAACTGCCATGTCAGCACTCTGAGCCTATTGTATAAACATGGGGGAAAATTTCCAAAGACTTGTAGCCAGAGTATTTATCTTAAGCTATTTTGAGTTTTGATGGGCAAAGATAACAACAGAATGGACCTCAAGAAATGGAAGACGAAGAAGAGGAAAGCCGAAAAGACGATGGAGAGATGAGATAGAGGAAAAATCTGGCAGCCTGTGGACTCATGTGGCACAAGATTGAAGAGCGTGGAGACAGCTGTGGAGGCCACCCGCCAGCAGTGGCGTGAACAGGCTGAGATGATGATGATGATGATGATTTTGAGTTTTACCAACAAATTTTCAAAATTAATACATACATACAGACATTGCTGTACATCTGGAACTTATGTTTGCAACCAACCACAGGCATTAAATTCTTTATTTGTGAGTTTCGAGCTTATATCAAATTACTCTTTTAATGAGGTTGTGCAAATGTTCAACTTTTTTCAAAAGAACACTGGAAAAATCAAAATTCAAAAATTTTTTATCAACTTTTAGGGATAAGAGATCTCTGTATCATACATCATTTTTTTCCATACTAATTAAACTAATGGCTTTCTTGGGATTGGAATAAAAAGAAAGATAGTTGCATAAATTCAGATCATAATTTATCATTAATGAATTCAAAAAATTTTCACTATCACAACCACTCTCATTAAAAAAGGACATTTTTTAAAACTCTTTGTGACCGCCTAGCCCCTCCTTCAACTGTACATTATATTATCAAAATCTGCTAAACTCTCACAACTCATTGGAACATCATTTCAAAAGGCAACTAACTGTATGTATAGCAACTACTTCCATTATCAACAATAAATTAGAAAAAAATCTTAACACAATACAACCCACACCAAATCCAAAGTCACAATCTATCAGGAGGCCTGGCCACATGAATTTTGGCAGGTAGGAGGTAAATCTCTCTACTTGTTTGAGTCAGGCAGGTGACTTTTACATGATGTAGAATTCATCAACTAATTCTTTGAAAGCAACTATAAAATACCATGCAAGTTAGAAGGAAAATATCAAAAATCAAGATGATCTTCAAAACAAAACAAACATTCTGCAACTAAACAAAATGGATCACAAGTTATATCTACTTTTGTTTGTAATCTGATTTTTATTCACTAATTCCTATAACTTCCTCCATATTCTTAACTCCACAGCTGATCTGTTTTGAAAGAAGTATCTACCACATTTTACAGCTCAAGACAAGATAACATGAACCTTGAAACTGGGAAACACTTCTCAAAAGATCAACTCTCTGAAAACACTTTCCATTATTAACTTAACAAAAATGCTGTTAAAAAGCGTCTCAGTGTGAGGAAGGGTTAAAAGTGACTTTAGAAAGCACTTGTTTTGATTCAAACATGAACATTTCTGTTCGAACATTTATGATGTAGACCAAAGTAAAATTGAGTTGTGTGTAAATGAAGGACAGGCCACGGTAGCAGGCTGCTCAATGGACTCCAATGGAATGCCTGTGGCAAAAAGTTGATAGAAATGTTGAAAATAAAAAACAACCCAATGAAATGCTGATATAGTGTTTTTAATTTCGTTGTTTGATTTGTTGAATGAAACTATGTTGTGAGGTAGTCTTCTTAAAAAGGCATGGAGATCTGATATTTTCACTAGTTTTATAAAAGCAACCAAATGCCAATGTTTGGTCAGACTAGGTCAATGCTTGGTGGGACTATTTTGTATTCCCAAAAAGGCAAAATTCTTGACATAGCATTAATATATGAAATATGATGCAAGATATTTCTATGTGATTAACGTAAATAAGTTATGGTATCCTGGATGAACAGACATTTAACATGTGAAAAATATTGTTTAGCTTAAATGCCAACACAAATCTATGGGTGAAATGGCAGGTGAATTATTGTTTGATTGATTAGTGCTATTGCCTGCCTCAAATAGCCAGGCCTTCTATTTAAATGAATATACATTTGCAGATTTGAAAGTATTAATAATTTAAACCACAGTGAGACCCTTTGAAAAGAACTTTTTTCTCAAACCATGACGAAGCAAGCATTTATATAACTCATACACAACTATAGTCAAACACATACTTCACAACGCAAAATAACATCTATATACTTTCTTGGTTTGGAACTAACACAAATCTACATCGAAACATTCAAAGCAATTTAAAGTAAACTTTCATGTGAGGTCATCCAGAATCAACTGCTATTTTGATTGTATTTATAACCATTTTTCCTTGCAAACTGAGAACACACTGAGCGAGGAAATGTCTTTTTAATGGTTTGATGAATAAGAAATGGCAACAACACTGTAAGTGACATGGCAACTTTCAATATTACTTGTTCCCTGAACAACATTGAAATCATCAGGGAAAAAGGAACTGTAAGGCTTGTGACACATCTTAATCATCTAATTCTGCTGTAACATACCACAACATTTTGCATGTATTCTTTTATATACCATACCTTCATAAATTGTGTTTCTTAATATGACAATTTTTTATAAAAAAACAGAAGTTCTCTTACCATTCAGCATAAAAATTGATAAGTGCAACTTTATTGGTATCTGAAAGAAGTAATATTGAAAAAAAATCAGTTTGTAGATGATACAACTTCAAATGTTGCTGCAAATGGTCGTCATATGCCTGCCGAAAGTCTTGGAACCCATTAAGTCAGTTTGCAAGATCAAATTCAGCCATCCCCCTCTCCCCCATGGATATACCTGCCCATTTGTAGCAATATTCAAGCAAATTTCTGATTTTATTCTGATTCTAATTGTAAAATTCTTCATTTAAAGGAAGATTTAATGTAAAGCATACAATCAATAAACAAAATGCACCCGCAAATCTGTACTCAGTTCAATAAAAGGTATTCAGTTCAATAAAATATATTCAGTTCAATAAAATATAATCAATTCAAGAAAATGTATTCAATTCAAAAATTTATTCAATGCAAAAAAATTGGTTTTCAGTAGAGAAAATATGTTCAATGCAAAAAACACATTCGAAGCAAAAAGGCATTCAATGCAAAAAATGTGTTCAATGCTAAAAAACAAAGCTATTCAATGCAAAAAGCTGTCCCTTAAACCTTCCTTCAAATAGAGAATTTTACAATTAAAAAAAGTACTAAATGGGGTATTGAATCAGGTATTGCATGAATAATACATTTTATTGAATATTGCTATAAATGGGCAGCCCAACAGCTCAAAACAGGTAAGGGAATTACGAAGCATCTTTTGCATTTCTCTTATGATATTTTGCCTTAACCATCAACATTGTTCTAGGGGGAAGAGGACAGAAGTGGTAATTTTTTTTGGAAAAGAATGAAAGATCTAAAATTCATCGCAAATTGCTGGGTGTTCCAAGTACTTTTGGCAGGCATTGAAGGTACCACATTTATCAAACTAAAAGAAGCCTTTTCCTAATCAAATGAAGTCTACTGGTATAAGAAAGCCCTTTAAAAATCATAACTTTCCTTTTAAATTTCTTATATCCAAATTTTTTGTCATAATCTGATGTTTTATATTCTGATGGTTATGATCTTCTGCACTTTTATATATTCTATTTTATATGCAACGTTTATAACATACCAAGGACATAAATAAACTGGTTTACATTTAATGTGATCCCTGATAGCCAGATAAGTGCCTGAATAGGTCTGCACAAATCTGATAAAGATAACCCCCTTCCCTTAAGACATGTAAACAAATAATGATTGGCAAAATTGTGAATGTAAAATTGCACTTAGAGAACAGCCACCAGCATACTAAATGTTCTTATAACCACATGGTCTTACCTCTGAAAATAAAAGAACCTCTTTGGCAGGTGGTAAATTCAAACGGGTTATCCTAACTGAATTATTGAAAAACCAAGCACATTGTCAGTAGCAACCAAAGTTTTAAGGTTGAAGTGACAGTCTTTAGCAAAATTTATTGGTATTTTACTTCCTGAAGAAATGTGGGTATTTTAAACTTGGAGTTTTTTCATAGTTCTATTCTACACTATTGAAACACTATTCAAAACTAAAAGTTGTGTCTCTTATATTTCTTCAATTTTGAATTTCAATTGTTCTTTTACAAAAAATGATGAGAAAAATCTATAAATATAAATAAAAATAATAATATAAATTTAACAAAGTGGGGAATGAGATAGGGAGAAAATTATATGCAATAAGATTATTTATTATTTTTAAAGAAATACTTTGACGCAGCGCTTAGTAATTATTTGTAATCAATATGGTTCTACTCTGATTTCCTAAATTTCATTAGGATAAAAGATTTTTAACATATTGTTTATGATTGGAGCATCTGCCTAGCTAAAATTAATGAATGTAGACTAGCTACTTGCCCCGGAAACAATCATAGATAAAATATTTAATCTAGAACGGTGCCGGGGAAGAAAATGGGGCACCGCCAGTGAATTTTATAAGGAAACCATTAAATTTTCGATAAAATTACAAAAATTAAAAAGAGTGAAGCCATCTGACCTATATACCACCAGAATAGAATATATTTGTTGATGAATGTTTAACGACCAATTTAATTTATAGAAAGAAAGCAGATTAAACACTCCTGTATAAACAACTCACCTAAAAATGTTTGATAATTAGAACTGTTCAATTGGGTTGCTGATGAAGCTGATGACTTCCCAATTAATAGGATCTGAATATGAAAATAAAAATATTTCAATATCTTTTGACGGAGTGACCACAACTTTTAAAGGATTTAGGCCAAGAAACGCTACCATGTTGATATCTGCGCAATGGCCTAATGAGGATTTGAAAGAACATTTCAAAAGATTCGATGCTAAAACTTTTCAAGACTTACCAATAATATAAAAAGGGATGCTCGAAGACACTTAGGCAACATCTTTAGATTGCAGATCTGTAATACAGCAAGGAAATTTGAATGACCCTGTCTTCCTATCGTAGGCCTAAATCGGTGTTTTTTTCTCGTGTGATGTGCTGACGTATTACTGGCTAGAAGTCTCGCAGGTAGACCGTGAATTTGCGCGGGAAATGGCCACCTGTTCGACAGCAAATGAAATGGTTGCATTCCAAGCGGGAATTTCAAATTCGTTATTCACCTGTCATGTCGTTAGGTATTTTGTCCATTTGAAATAAGATGCCTTGACAAAGATATGTTCTCAAAGGCTATTGCGACTGTTGATCTTAGCATATTGTTTTCTATTTTACGTGTTGCTCTCGGCAGACAAAGTAAATGCCAAGTAAATAGGCAAAAAGCAAATGTGTGCCGCCAGGATACACATTGGGGCTAGCAATATTCAATCGATAACATTGGCTTGACAGTTTCATGCCTCACCTTGTTACTTATTATATTGTGTGTATAAACCTTGGAAGCAATCTTTTTAGAAATACGTTAGGTTGAGTGATATCTAAAAATTTGTCCCTAAAGATCTTCATATACAGTCAATTCCACCATAGTCTATAACCCATTTATAGTCATTTCACTGAAAGTCACGCTACCCGTTATACAGTCACATAAAATTTAGACCCAAATTTGCCAAACCATTCAATTTAGCTCCGCCTTACAGTCAAACTCAGCTTACATTTGCAAGTTTTAAAGCAACATTTGGCGTGACTATGACAGGAGTCTACTGTATCTTGTTATCCATGCAAAATCTTGGCTTTCATATTAAGCTATAAAAGCCAATATCCATGATATTTATCTTCTTTTGCGTGTTCTTTTATTTTGGGTGGGCTGATCTAAGCAAGTCTTGAATTTTTTGGGCTATGTATTATATCTTAGTCATTGTTGTACAAAAACATCTGTAACTGATACCTAAGCAGCTGCGATTTTGCTATTGAACCAAAAGATCCCAAAAAAATAGTTTCTCAGAACAAATGTGAAAATGACATATAATCTTCAACTTTCCTTTGCAGGGCCGCGGAGAGAATTTATGGGCCCCGGGTCAGGACAAAAATTAAATCATAAGACAGACACTTCTAGGAGGTATGGGGAATGCTCCCCAGAAGTTTTTGAAAATTATGGTTGCTTAAACTGCTAGGGTGGCTATTTTGGTTGCTAAAATTGCCATGGTGGTTAAACTGCGCTGGTGGCAATGGTGTAGATAGAGGGGGTCAGAGGGAGCAAAAACACCACTGTAGAGCTAAACTGCTATTTTGTCTGAAAACCTCCGCTCTTTTCAAAAATTTAACATGGTTGTCTATGTTTATCTAAATGTTATGTTTTGATGGGAAAAATTTGTATCTAAATGAACATAAGAATATTCAATATATCAAAAGATCTTTTTTCAGTTCTGATGTCGTTATGTTATGTTGAAAATTATGAGAAAAATATAGAAGCTTGTTAGATTTTTGTCGGAAAATCCATGTTTCTCACCCCTCCTGTGAATTAGAAAGAAATAGAAAATTACAGGTACAAAATGATATGTTTAAATAACTGAGAATAAAAAACAAGTGGGATAGGCACAAGATTTAGGGATATTTAATGGAAGAGATATAATTTATCACAAGTACATTTAATACTTTGGGCAACTGTTTATTCTGTTTCCTTCCATATCGCACTGCTTCATTCAACCTTGCACTTCTTAAATACAATCGATATACAATGTACGCATCAAATATCATACTTACCATACCTGATCCGCTGTTTAATATAATTTGAGCATAACTGATATCTTAGCACCATAATGCATGAAAATGAAATTTTCTTAGAAATTCTCAGAGTTTAGAAAATGAAAAACACTCAATTCGTTAACTAAATTGGACCACAACCGACACACTGTTGCAAATAGATGCGAACGCCATATTGTAAATCTGTATGACATACATATTGCCCTGTATGTTGCCCTGCAATCACATTTTTTGTTAACATTCAAAAGCTTTTGAACTTCTTAAGCCCTAGCCAACAAAGATGATAAATTCGTAACAAAATTATATTTAACACTGAGGCAGTCAATGACTTCATGGACCTTTGTCATTATTGTCTCTAATATTATGTTATCTTAATATTGATTGGGAGGCTGGATTATTACTTAGAAATGTTTTTCAATTGAGTTATTATTTATGGGTCCCTAAAGCCAAGGGCCCCTGGGTCAGTGACCCCCCTGACCCCCCCTCTCCTCAGCACTGTTCCTTTGTGCTGATCAGATCGTTTTCAATTTTTGCACTGGCAAAAAATCCACCGTTACGAAAAATGCTGCTTGAGAATGTTGCTTGTCCAAATATTTCAACATAGATCAAATAGATCAGACAAATATAAAATAGATCAAAATAGATCAAAAATGCTAAAAAAATGATTTTCCAAGAGCCTGAAGGGCGTGGCCGAGAAAATTTGTTTTTGTTCACCCCAGTTTTCTCAAGCTGGCGACGCCACTGGGCTCTGCTACCCAAGGTAAATAAAAACTTATCAATGGATCTGAATCATCAATGCAGCTTGAATGCACCTATAGTCCTTTAGTATCAATAAGAGCAAGTCATTTGTACATATAGAAATATCAGATCATTTATCTCTTCCTGCATAGCAACTTTTCCAGTCTCTTCATATCAGTCATTAGATTGAGTATAATCACAAAACGTACTTTCAAAAAGCTCTCAAGATCAGTTTGATGTGATGAGAGCAAAAATAAATTGAATTTGATGCTTGTGATGAGAGCAAATGAGAGCAGATATGATGAGAGCAAATGTCAAATTTGATGCTTATGAAGATTTCCCAGTCAGCATGAAATGTGACTGCCTTGCAAGAGCCATTCATGATTGGCAGCTTGGTCAGCATGAAAGACTCTTATATACTCCTTATTCAGTTCAAGTACCCTTAATCTCGAAAACTAAAATCTCTAATACGCCATGTCCATTCTAATAATCGCCAATATAACACAAAACCATTATTTTTAATATCAAAGTGCTCTCTGCCTTATCCACCAGTATATGGCTAAGTAAAGGAACGGCAAACGGCTGGCTATTGAAAAGATACGTGGAATACATCTTTTCTTGGATTGCAGGTGATTTACAATGGTTACGGTATAAAACATATTTTCCTTCATCAGTGATAGGTGCAACAGTGTCCTTAAACATAACAAAAGCCTGTTCCAAATTGGCAGAGATGTGGCAATGAAATACTTATGTTTCGGTGTAGAATATTTAAGCTATCGAGGTGCTTTTGATATTTCTTAAGAAGCTTCCCACTTTTTTGATTGCGCTGCAGTATATAACAGGTTAAAAGATTTTTATTTGCTCTCGGCGCATTGCGGCGTTCCTAATTTGCAACATTCCATCGGAGTTAGCCGAGCAGCTTGCTACTGTGACTGTTCCTTGCATGATCTACTAAAAAATTTAGCTTGTATGATCTACTGTTTTATTTTATGTCCATGGCTATTGCATTTCCTATATATTATTAGATCGATTCTCTTTTAATTAAAAATAGTGAGTAAAAGAGCGGCTTTGTTATGACTGCTTATGATACTAGCCAACGATTTTCAGCTTTTAAACACTGAATTTTAAAAGCTTATGACGATACAAAATGACTTATAACCCTTGAATAGGGAGACCCAAAAGCCTCACGTGTTCCTTCTTGCTCAGAACATAAAGCAATAACCCGTACAAAAGTTGAACATCATTCAGCAAATTTGAGTTTGAAATTTATAGTTCAGTTGAGTTTTGTTAAATAGAATCTGAAAGAATGCTGCCTTCACCAAAAATTCTTGCAGTATGTACTTACAGCTTTCTTCACTTTAACAAATTTTTATTTCTTTTCAAAATTAGATGGTCATGTAACTACTACTGCCTCATCAAAAGAAGATTCAGGCGAGGGGCAAATCACGCCAAGAAAATCTCGTACACCTTTTGTGAAAATCCTATTGTTTTATATGAAAATCCCCAGAAATCCTTTTGTTTTCCAGAAAATCTCGTACGCTATTTGCAAGAGTGAAGTGCCCCTCGGATTCAGGTCTTCTGCACAAATGAAAAATTGAGGGCTAACCAAGAGGAGTATTCAGACAGTTGTAAATGTTAAAAAATTTTCCTCTTTTCTTCAGGATGATCAGGGATGATAGAAAAAGAGTCAGTATGTTTGATTTGCTGAATTACTATTTACAATTCGTGTTCTGATTTCTACTTGATTCATAAATACTAAAACCTCTTATTAAATATAAATCTTCTACCAACGTTACAATTATAAGAACTGATAAAGTAATGAGGAAATTGAAAGCACTGACATAAAATAATAATTGGTAAGAAACTACTGGTAACTCAACATAAAAAGTTACTTTAAGGGCAAGGCATTATTTAAAGTAGCCTAAGAGTTTTGTTTATATTCTTTGATTTGCTTTTGCACTTAAAGTCAATAGAAAAACCAAATTGCTAATTTGATCGTAATGTAAGCTAAAGATGGAGTTGACGTGTTACTTTATCTGTATACCTATCGTCACAATTGAAATTTAGCAAAATCAAGATTAAGAGAGATTACCTGTATTCAAGAAATTTATTAGTTTTGTTTGCTTTGAAAGCTTTGACAATACAAAATTCAAAATATTTTCTGTTCATTTGAAAGTTTTGGATCTCAGCAACTCTCAATAAAATTGTAACAGTTTTTATTTTTATTCTATTAAAATTTTTGGATCATAAATATAAACGATTCCTTGCCATGTGAGTAGAAAAATCAACATTTTATGTTGATTCAAACCACAATTGAAATACATCAATTAAACGAACGAAAAACGAATTATAAAAAAGATTGATAATACTACTGTTTATCATATGTTACGCTTTCCTGTTTACAATAATACGCATCAAATATTAGTTCAGATACACTACACAGAACATGGACGATTCGCTTCAGTAATGACACATCACTAAGAAGCAGATAAAAAATACATTTTGCACACTTAGACACAATTCATAAAATACAAGCCTAATTCAACGTTGTTGGAAAGGTCTTACGTTGACTTTGCAAGAACAGGCAAATCATCTACAAAACTATCCTTTCTGTGCTCTTCAAACTTCTTCAAAACATCCTTTATTGTTCCTTCCTTCTTTTACTTGTTACTTTGTCTTTACTTGTTTCTTGTTTCTCGTCATTTTTCTTTCTAATTTCATTAACTATACCTTGTCAGAAACTTCATTTGGCTGCTTTTAATATTCCTTGCGTTGACTATTAAAATGAAATTGCTGGTCAAATTGGTTGGAAATAGTTTAATTGCTGACTTTAGTAACTAATATTCTTGAACGTATGATAAACCACAATCTATAATGCTGCGCCGTTGTAACATCAAAATCATCAGCTATTTCTGAAGCAAACGTCTTTTCAATAAATATGCGACAGCAAGAATATTATATCTTTAACACTGAAATTGTTTAAATAGACGGACTAGAAATTGTGTTGCCATCAATTATGTCTAGCGATCTGAGGTAACAAGCTCTTGAACACGTGTACACACCACTCCAAAAACATCTTTAATGTGTTTCGATAAATTCGAAACGGCATTTATAACACACCTGTTATTTGTTTACGGAATCACTATCATTCGATAACACAATCGTTTGGCCTAATTTTTTAGATCTACAACAAGATATTTTTAAGATATTCGAAACACTAACAGAGAATTAGCTTCATATTACGCATATCAAATCTTTGCTGGTATTATGAGTACGTTCGAAACAGTAACCTTGATCTTTCTGTGCCTTACGCAGCTCAATTTGTCTTCGAGGCATTAAAATTCTTTGAGGCTTTCTCAGCCTTGATACTGAGCGTAAGAGCACAGCATTCCTTTTCCGGTTTTTTGGCTATTTGCAAGTGTAAGACGTAACATTTTTTCTACAAATTTCACAATGCACATCACAACAGTATTGAAATGTGCAATTACAGTGCTCCTCCAAAATCACAAAACTTTTCTCTTCTCCTTTATCACAGCATAAAATAGAGCAACTGTTCAGCTTTCCATCACCAGGCACACATCGCCTACCAGACGTGCCCATTGACCCAGTCTTTACGTTTGCTTTACAAAAGTCTGGCGAATCATCTGTGTAAACCAAATCAGTAGAAGTGTGGTGCTCAAAGGACTTCTCCTTGGGAAGCAACTTGGTTCCTTTGTTGTCTATCATCACTTTAACTGCGGAATCATACTTCTGGAGAAGAAAGCGACCAATGTCTCTAAAGTCAGGTAGCTTGCGAACGCAGGTTTTCAAGTGACAAGCACCTGAAATTCCATGGCACTTGCATTGTGATTGATGTCCCAATTCCATTGATGTCAGCGCCTAAACGAAACAAAGCAATTTGAATTAACTGCAAAAACATCCAAAACATTGAAAAAGAAGAGCGAAGAGTTGTCATGGCAGATAACAGCCGGTTTCTGTACGATGTCCAACCGGAGCTGGTTAAAAAGCGATGCAATGCAAGTATCAGCTTGTGTTTGAGTTTGAAATCAGAAGTGTTCGTCAAACAAACAATCATTTAGGACTTTCTCCGAAGACTACAAAGAAAGGAGACTACAGTTGAAAGGAGAAAGAGCACTTCAGAAATAGAAGATCTTAATATTAAATTCAATTTAAAACCTGCCTTTAAACCATCTTGCTATCTATCTATCCATCTATTTATCGATCTATGAACGAATTTTTTGGCCATACAGGCCACTTTGCTACACAAAGTGACAGATACACGAATTTAATTTTGTACTTAGTTTTTTCATTTACGCTTTACGCCTCCTTATTTCATGGTCTAATCACGTGGTCAAAAGTATCTGCACAGAAGATGCAATAGATTGCAACGATAAAAGCATGCATCGACTCTTTACTCCCTGCTGATGGTACCACATACATTTAAAGCGATAAGATTGTTGGCATTAAAATAACATTGGAAAGCAACGGCAGCGTCTTGCAAATGGTGGGCAGTACTTCTTTGTGTGCAGTTGAAACCTTCATGTTGCGAATTTGCAGCATGTGTTCTAGATGCAAGCTGATAAAATGAGAGGTTTACGACAACAACGGTGATGCAAAAATACCTAGTGGATGCCATGAATCTGGACCATTATTTTGGAACAAAGGAACCCAAATAGCTCTTAATATCAATCCTGCACACAGCTGGAGAAGGTTACGACCTCATAAAGTTTCCTAATCCAATTTGAGGCATCTTCTACAATTCATGCAAATGAAAAGTCTTGTATCTTCTCTAATGAGCAATTTTTTGAGGTGGGGACAAGATTCCATAAGAAACCAAATCTATATATAATTTTACCTGTTTTACAGAAAAATTTTACAAAGCATTCTTCGACCGAGCACAAGAATAGTTCTGTAGTAATCAAAGACCATAAATGATGAAAGACCTTAACATCACATAATATACTTCACCGTCTAGCTATATCGGCGTTTAAACGATGCAGAGCCAAAGTTGCATGCATTATGAGAAGCTGGTGGCAATACGAAGCAGCTATTGCTAGCACAATGCAACACTTCATTTCAGTAGAAGCCTTGAATATATAAAATCAGAGCAATGTTGAAATAGTAATTTCTTGCTTATCAAATCATTATGTCGAAGGTATCAAACGTTTGTCCAAGGTAGAGTTTATAGCTAAATCTGTTTGTTGTCATACTGCAGTCGCGCTATGTTAAGGGTCAGGCTTGCGTATCATTTTAACTGATAAAAAAATGGAAACCTAATGGGAGTGATTCATTGATTCGACTAAAAAAGAAATTTTGTTCAAAGCATCAGCTTGCAATTATCAATTTTGCATTTTTGAATAAAAATAACAATAAACAGTTGTAGAATAGACGGACCGTTATTTAGGTTGGATACTGGAACTTCAATAATAATTGCGAACGTTAGGCGAATTATTGACCCTTTTGATGTTGATTGCTTTAGAAATGAGGGATTGTCTTTTGACATGGGAAACCATATGGTGCTTAAGTAATCGGTATCAGGGATGCCTTAACGTGTTCAAAACGAAGGCCATTTAATGGTATTAGTGAGTGCGCATGTAATGTAGAGCCAAATTAAATTAGCGGGATGTAGAGAGTCAATCATTACTGATCTCCTATAGAGCAAGGCATCATCTTATTGAAGCAAGGTTTACGCTAGGATTTTACAGATTGCTATCTTATTGAATACGATTAGCAACTCAGCATAATATGGATCATTAAGTCTTCACGCCGCAGAATTCGCATATTAAAGTACTGTCGAAGACAAAGAATTTATGTCTAGTTAAAATAACGAAATTCAAAAACTTTGTTAGTACAGGTCTGAAAAATTTAAGATTCATCCCATTAGGTTACAAGTTATGGGAAAGTTTTTTGTGGTTTTAAGAATTCTTTTTTGTCAATTATTTGAAAAATTACTCTTATTTTCGATATGATTACAGCCTTTACCTTGTAATTGATTTTGTCACAAATTTTTATTACTATGAATGCATATGTAACAATAGGTGGTTTTGGGTGTAACATTTAACAAATGGCGTTTATACGTATAAATGCCTTGTAAACCACAAGAAGGTATTTCACTCCTCCCTCTTGAGGCCTGAAAGAATCACGGAAAACTTTAACCTATGGAAGACTTAGCTGCAAGGTGAATGATGGCTGCGATTTGAATTGGGTCTTTGCTTCTTATCAGAGTTTCTTACAGGAATTTAGACAACAAGAACATGCTAAAGAGCATTAACATAGATTTGAACGATATTATCGTAATCTTGTGATTGAGATTACACCTACAAGAAGCGTTGCCCAGGAAATTAGGTGAGCTAAAACTGGCTAAGACGAAGACAAATTTCTCGACACAATGAATTGACATCAATCTTCGGTACAAAATTTGTCTTCTTAAGTCTATTTCAAAGTATGCTGTTTTTCTGTGTCTCAATTACGTACACAATGTTTGAGTGTTTGGGACAATAATGTACAATGAAATTTAGGTCTACCTTTAAACTTAACCACTTTGATCTTCGCAAGTGATTTCCTTCGAGCTACTTGTTACAAGATAGGCTTTGCTACTTTTAGGAAGAATTTGGAACAATCAAAATATTTTTAAATTTTTGGTTTATTAAAAGTGATCTACTTAATGGTAAATAATAAAGCAGAGTAAGGGGTTTTTTGTCAACATAGTTAACTGAACCACCACATTTCATCTATTTCTCGCAATTACCTGTTTCGTTGATCAGAATCCTTCATTAATCTACTATGGCTCCTAAATAACCTAGACTTCCCACTTTACGTCATGACAACTTTCAATTTTTCTCTACTTACCAGTCTTCCAGCTTCTTTGTTATGTCTGTCCACCAACCCGCGCACGTCCCGCACCTTGTCATTCCGCATCACTTTCCTTGACATTCCCTTTCCATAACTGATTGCTCGCTCAAGGCAATGGTCTGACCAATCGTAAATGTTTCCTTTGTAGTGAAGGTTTCTTTTCTCGTGCTTAGCTAATTTTCGTTGTCTTCTTTTCTTTTTAGATTTACATTGACAATTTGCAAACATTCCCATATGGCAGCCTGTTGTTATAGCGTGCGCCACTCCAGCAGACTGTATTGCAAAAAGGTAGGCCACTTCTTTGTACCCTGTTTTTGAAGAATGAAGTAACAATTAAATTTTTTTGCCTTTGGTAAAAGTTTAGTCATTTTCTCCTGAATATAATAATCTGAATCATAATTACCCTTAGCCAGTCAGTGTTTACCAGAAACATTTCCAGAATGCTAATCTTTTAGCTGCCTGACATGTTGATTTACTGTATCGCCTGGCATAATTTGTAAATGATTGGGTTTTGATTGACGTTTTAATTGAAATATTGATTGACAGGTTGATTGCCATATTGACTGACGTCTAGATTGACATCCTAATTGACATTGATACTGGCATTTTAATTGGCATTGTCAAAAAAGACAGTTGGCAGCTCAGACAAATCAAATACTACGGTTATGTGTCTGGAGCTAGCTTCACAGACATCAGGTTTGTTTTGAAAATGTATGTTTTCTTTCAGCTTCTAATAAAATCAGTTCATAGGCTAGGGATACTTTCCTAAAAAAGTGTATAAAGGAGGATTCTAACTAGAATATTTTGTTACCTTGTCCAAAAATAACAAGGGTTAAGGAAATCAGATAAGAACGAACGAAGGTTGACTTTATATCGCAAACTTTTGTTGGAAAGCAAGTGAAAAAAGGTCTTGTGCAAAAGGAAAACCTTTTCAATGTAAGCATTTTATTGCTGAGAATAACAGCAGTCACTTTGATAGGCCACGCATCGATATGGACACAGAAAAACTCTGCTCAGGAAAGAATTAAGTCAATAATATTTGGGATAATCTAAGAACAACGGAGCCCTTTGCTTGAATTTTTAAGTGAAAACGATGCCCTGAAAACAATGCCTGTCCGCCACTGGTGTGGCCACTAGCCCCCCCACCCCACACCCCACTCCACACTCCAATTGAAGAATTATTTGAAAATTCAACAAGAAAACGTATTGTTAATTTGAATACAGGATACGGAGGCTCAAAATACCTTTTTAAGGTGTTAGGGCCGAGGTGGCCCCTGGAATTTTTAGAATCCCTAAAGACCTTTATACCTTTTTGTTTCCGCGACGTACGTACATTCTAGATACCCCATCTCCCTCCTTGCACTAATAAATGACAACAGTGTCTTGAGGAATATCCCTCTACTCTGGATACCGTTTTCAAAAAGAGACATTTCTGGCGACCAAAGGCTCTTTTAGGCGAGAACAGAAAAACCGAAACGGACAAAAAATGTTCTTTAAGGTGTTCAGCTACTTGCTGTTGCGACCTGAATCATTTCAGATCACCAGACACCATTTTTGGTTGCGGCTTTTTCTTTCAAACTATTTTTTGCAAACTCATGCCTAAGTTAAGCTGTCCTAAAAGTCTGCGGTATGTTTCAAGCATGGGGAAGCAATTTTGCCGATCAAAACAAACCCAGCACCGAAATCCTTTAGTTTTTAATAATTCATAAAAGCTGAAAATCACAGTTTTGGATAACTGGAATAATCAAAATCATTTAACTGATTAATTAAACTTTATTTCTCAAAGAGATATTTGAGATTGCAGACAAGCTTCTGGCAATATCATCACTATTGAAAAATGAACGACGTAAATCACAAAAACCACAATTTCTATTCACCTTTATTTTATCTAAATTTTAAAAAGGAACAAACAAAAAGCTTTCATTAAGGATTGGAGCATGAATAGGCTTGATGACGTCATCACTTTGGTGAAATCTTCAGATCTTGACTTTTAAGTCAACCGGCACCAAGATTTCCGAATATAAGTTACACAAAGCTCCTATACTTCCAAGCAGATAATAAGATATATTCTTCATTATTAGTTCGAGACCTGCTTATAAACAAGACATTCATTGGCAATCTTAATACCACAATGCCTTGCGTCATAGAGCCTATTGCAAAAAACATCTTCATTTATAAGTTCATCTAGGTCAATCGCCACAGCGACCCGTAATCTTGTCGGTGATTCAAACTCGGGCACGTTGTGACGTTACAATGCTGGATACAAAATGACAGAACAAGTACACAGTGGCTGTGAGTCATAATTTATAGATTGCTATCATTAATAAACACAAGGCGTAGAGGTCCTAAGAGCAAAATTCAAATGAAATATTAATCGCTGAAGTGATTTAATTGCGATATAACCAGATGTAATTCATGGATTTATAAATATGAAAGACTCCGCTCGAGAATATTCACCAAGCGGTTTACTAGGACGAACAAAACCCTGCATCGCTGGCTTATCCAAAAATTAATTTAACATTTCTTGTCTTTGTAGGTGGTGTTTCCTTAAAAACCAAAGTATCGGCTTAGACGTAGCTTTCTTGAGTACAATCTTTGTTTCTATTTGACACTGCCGATGAACCGAGCTCCGCTTTGATAAACCTACTAATATATTCTTAGAAAGCACAAAGTCACCCGGCCTTTTTCAAGGAGGCCGTAACGAACAGGTCCAGGACCATAAATGGATTATCTTATCAAGCCACTTGCCCAGTATCACTTCAAAAGATCGCAAAACCTGTCTATTATATGCTGCTGAAATAACAATTGTTTTTGAAGCTCAGAATGTTAATGTTTTCTTACAAGCAACCTTTGCTAGCACATAACCTTTGTTTGAGTCATGGACACCGAGAAAACATTTTGAAAATCTCAAGAAACCAATGTTTTCCTGGCAATTTCTGAATGTTCTGCAGCTTTATCCGTAACAACTAGTCAGAAACGTGCCTCGTAGATTATGTGAAAGTAAACTAAGGGCAACAACACTCAAGTCAATAAAGTTTAAAGAGAAAATAGGATATATGTCCCATTTTTCTATGCGTCTATTTGTCTAAGTGAACACACAGTCTAGCATTGTCTAAGAAGACATTTTGCTGGTCATGACTGATTCAACATGTTTTTATTTCTCTAGGGAGACTTCACTTAAAAAAATGTTTTTATCTATAAGGAAAGATGTCGGAGATGAGGTGTGCTGTTGATTAGAATGTGCCAACTTTCCAAGTAATTGCTAGCAGGGAAAGAAAACTTTTACTGTTTGCAAGAACAGGACTGACTCTCCTCTTTCATAATTTGCATTTTCCCACAACTTAAGGGTGTGTATGTGACATCCCCAATTTGTGCTTTTAGTCCTTTGTGGATCAATTTCTGCATGATTAATCTTTGTAGGCCTTTTAAAGTAATCATTAAATCATTTTAATTAAAGGAATGCAAGTTACCTGAATAAAAAAAATGTTTTACCAAATGTTACTGAAAATTATTTGCATACATTACTTGCAATGTTGTACTTCATAATACATTTAGCTTCTTTTGCAGAGAATCACTACACATGTAAGAAAAGAAATGCATATTATTTCAAATGAACCAACTAACCGTATGAGACGATTGCTTCAATGGATCTTGTGTCATGCGAGCAGTTCCATCGTCTTGATCTAAACTGCTTCTGGCACTCCAAAATGGCCATTCTAGTTCCATTCAAAAGAACCAGGCCAAGCATGGTTTCTTTCACGCTCTCGCATAATTGCGTATTTCTTCTTAGGTAAGCTGGGAATTTCATGCATACAGACAAGTGACTTGTCCGCTGAAATGGATTTCGTGGTCGTCTGTCGATGACAAAATAATACCGCTGTAAGTCTAAATCAGAATTTTCTTATCATGTTTACCAGAAATCATTCATAAATGATTCTTTGAAGATTCAGCTGTTGTCATGACAATTGTTACTTTATTGAGAATCTTTAAGATGAAGTCATCGTTCGAAGGAATATTTTTCTTTGATTAGAGATTGCTAACTATCGCTGTAAATGTGGGAATATTGACATGTAATTGAACAGAAAGCTAAAAACTACCAAAAAATTTTAATACTCTTCTAAATTTATCATAATGCTCGTCAAAATTTATGAAGCATAATCTAATAGAATGTTCTTTAGCTGCTCCAAACAACTTTGGCATTTGCCCACTCATCTTCGTGTTTATCGATCCATGTAGTGTGTTTACTTGACAGTATGGCTCATGGTCCTTCACAAACATAAGCTCATAGGAAGCATATCTGGGCGTGGCATTGTCTCTTGAAGCTTCCTTCATAATTAGAGAACTCCTTAATGAATGCCGACATTCCAAAAAATGGAATATTCTACGCCGAGGGTGTAAGCCGAAAAGCCCCCTAATAATGTCGATTGCCTTTCTGCAAGATAATCGTTGCTAAAACGATTAAATGTAAGCTGCTGCTACGCGTCAATGTAGAATCTTTATGGCTGGAGCCAGTCGTTTTTTAACTAGTCGCTTTTTAACCATTAGATTTAGGCAAAAAGGACAATACAATGTAAGTTTACATGCGACTTTCGTGATATAGTTGATGGCTTTTCATTTTAGTTTACACTATTGACTGATTACTGCCATTTTGTGTTGCTTGATTTTTTGAGCCAAAGTCTCATTCCTAAGCATACACCCTATTTCGCTTTCTGTAGTAATGAAAGCGGGCGTCTCAAAATTACGTCACTACATACGAAAAGCTAGTGATCAATGTTTCTTCAAAAACCTGGAACCTTGAAATCTATTTAAATTGCTTATTCAAAGAATGCAGCTGTTTGAAAGGCAGAAAATTAAAATGTTATCTGAAATGGTTATGCTTTGGTTGGTTTGTGCATTAGATTGATATTTCTGGCCATCTGTTGGAGATTTTTTGGTTTTATACAATAAGGCTGAACCTTGCCACGGGAGTTTCAACAATATTTACAGCTCTCACGCAGTTGAAAAGTACATGAAGATGGGACCTCAATTTATACTAAAGTACTTCAAAGATATTTGAATATTATATAATATAACTGTTACAAGCTAAGGCAAGTTTCTAAAACATTTTAGATTGTAAAGTATTGATCGAGTGAGTTGAGTAAATTTGCTTTATAGAGAGCATAAATACTTTGGAGATCTCAGGCAAAAACATTTGCAAGTGCGGGGTGCCCATAGAAAGTGATTGTCTTTCTTTTCGTCTTATAAGTATCCATTCTGCGATTTCAAAAAATTTTCATATCACAAAAAATGCCAGTGTCATTTAGGAAGAATCTCTTCTCCATATCAACAGACTCAACTCAACTGGGACACTTTCATGTTCATTAGCTTCGATTTCACTGATATCTGAAAATTGAAATTCTATCAAATTTTTTGCTGTTGAAAACTTCAGATAGAAGTTTTTATGTTGAATATCTTGTATTACTTCGGCTAGAGGTGTGTCAATATAGGATTTTAATTAATCCAGACTTCCTCTCGTTTGAATATGAAAAATGTTTTCTATGCGGTGTTCAAGGTGATGCCTGAGGGGATTTACAGAAGTTAGTTAGCAACAGAGATAAAAAACTTGCCAATGCATTCTTAGCATCTTATGCAGACTTCGAGCTGCTGAAATTATTGCTTTTATCATCATAAAAATAGTTTAAGCAGGGATCGATAAAAAGCATTGAAGGGCTTGTTGAGACAAGTGCATAAGAAACTTACAAAATCCCATATGCGATGTTAAGCAGCATAATTATGAAGATCCATTTTGGTAACATTGCACCAGCTATGCTCTTCATGATGGTTCTTTAGTTCAGCAGTGTTATTGTGTGTTAGTAGAAAATTCTTTCTCGTCTTTATGCAGAAGGTCTTGAAACGCGCCAATCCTTTTAAACTTCAACTCAATATGCTTCCATGCCTTGAGTATTTCAAATGAAAACTGGCTAATTAAAATTCAAAGATTCATGTTAAGTTCCATTGCTCTTCTACACACATCATCTCAGCGGTACATTTTCTCTGCATTGGCTAAAACAATGCGCAAACGGTCTTTCCTTTAGCAGTTCATCACAAACAGCAGTATGTGGGATCGCTGCGCTCCTTTAGGAGAAATGTCAGTTACCCTCGCTTTCTGAGACGACTAATGCACTTACTTGCGCATTATATGAGCGGATACATGAAATCACACATGGGTTTGACTAGTTAGAATAAACAATTTGCCATAAGAGACAGCTAAGCAGCGTGGAATTCCTTTAGAACAAAGGATCATAGGATAATGCGCTCAGCTCAATTTGTCTGTAGCTGTCTTTTCAGACTGACTTTGACTACCGAGTAATGGAATAGAACGGTGACAATTCGTGTATTTTGGAATGCTTCTCTGTGAAACAAGCTATAAGTAAATTATAGAGCTAAGATAGTTTGTAGAATTACGAAGCTTAGTTACATCCTGTACACGTGAAAAGACAGGAAGAAAAGAGAATCGTGCACAGAAAACTTGAACGACTCAACAGCCTCACTGGGCCTGTAAAGCCGGACGATGTCAGGATGGGTGCTAAAATCGTTTGCTCTAAAGTCGATGATGACAAAGTGAAATTCACACGCTCCTAGCTTTGAGTTTAGAGGAACCATCTTTTTCATGTACCGGCGTAAAAGAAACACAGGACATGAAATATTTCCTCAATGTTCGTAGTATAATCCATAGCTTATTGAAAATTAAGAGTTCTTTGTGCATGCAGAATGCCCAGGGGGGTTGAAAATAGATCAGGGATTATGGTATCTTTGCTAAAAATGCAATAGATGGTCTTTGATGTTTCGATGTGGCTAGTTCTAAAGAATGTTTCATGTTTCAGAACGTTTGATGTGCGTTTCATAGAGTACCAAAGTGATGACGTCACAAAGATCTACTTTTAGGACTTTTCAGTTTTAACCATGTATCCCAAAAGATAATTATTAAATATTTCTAAATGTGCAAAATCAGTTAAATGTGTTATAAATTGGATGAGATATGACCAGATGAGCACAGAATCTTGCCCTTTTATAACTTTGGTCTTGGTTCATAACTTTATTAAACAGACCAGAATAACAGTAATCCGTTAGCAAACTTGAAATTTTCATTGGCCATCTCTTGCCCAATTTGGAAAACATTTAACTTATTTTACATGTTGATGGGTATTTTATGCTGTTCTTTCCGATAATTTGGTCAAAATTAAGAAAGAATTAAAAATAGATTTTTGATGACGTCATACTTTGGTACTCTAATGACAGCTTAAAACAGTTGCTTATGTTCAGGGTATGTTGAACCTTTTCAAAGTGGCTTTTCCATGCATTTAAAAGGTCTGGCATCTGAAAATTGCTGACAGCCCAATGCATGTATTTTTCTTATTGTTCGTTCATTTTAAAGATATTATTTCAGCTACCTTCTTACATTTGAATGATTGTCTTCGTCTATGTTATCAAACCTTGAGTGTGCCGTGTACTGACAAAGCATTCATCTTTTGCTTTGGCAAAAAGATTGTTTTTGAATTTTTCCGATTTCATGCACCCCAAAAACTTTCATTAGCAAATACCCCCTTATCAATAAGAACTACGACATGTAAAAACCAAGATGGTAATGATAGCTCATACATTCTGCATGAATTTACTCCCAAACCAGATCGTAAAAAGAGCATGCAAAATTGTGTTTCTCAGTAGAGTGATTCATTACTTACATGAACCCATACATTGCTAACACATGTCAAATATACCACCCAAAAATGCTTTTGCTCTTTTTGTTTGATTAACTGAAAAATGTTTAGATTGAAAACAGAAGCTAGGTTTTTTCTTCTATTTTTTGTTCGAATAGCAGCCAGCTCTCTGCAAAGCTAGGCTGACCACAGCCTTGACAAAGGGAAGTTGGTTTGCTTTTGTAGTCTTTATTCTCCTGATTCTATATATGAAATTAATTTCAAATATAGCAAACATTCTTAATTGCAATAATCAGAAACTGCAAAGTCAAATCTGCTGCTCCAGCAAATATGCGAAAAAGTTTTTGTTCATGAGAATAAAAATGAGTCGTTTCCTAAAAGAATGCCATTTGGAATCTTGTACCTTTTATAGATTCAAAAGCTCGTCCATGGCATCACAAGTCTGTGAGCTTCCATTAATCCGACAGTCGTTTGACCAGTTGCCAGTTGTTGGGAGTCATGTTGTACATGGCATTACCCACAGTGAGACATGTCCGTAATAAAAAATATTCATCAATGATGTTTACTATGTCTCAAATACTGTGAAGAATATTGTTGGTTTATAATATTTTGCGTCCACAATTGACATATATAGACTTGTCATATTTCCAGATTTTCTTATACACTGTAAGATTGTCTTCAAATAAAATGACATATGCGTTTTCCCCCATGGAGATAGAAGAGCCTTGATCGAATTGGAAAATTTGATATTCTAGTAAATTTGATTTGACAAAGACCTTCTGCTTTCAGCAAAAGTGCTTAAAGAGTCTATCAAAATGATCAAACTTAAATAATCGACTTGATCACTTCATTGTAGATGAATACCAAGGATTGGTTTAAGTTCTTGCAGAGAAGTTATGTCTTTTAGAGAATTTAGAGCATGTTTTAAGCAGAACCAAGTTGCACCATCATTTCAGTACCGTGTGTAATGAATGGAAACAACTTATAGAGAAGTGACGTAAAAGGTAACGGAAAAGCTTTTGGCTGTAAAGAGCAACACCATTTTCAATGCAGTTTACTAGAGGAAAGTCACTGGAGCTTTCCAATGTTCTGATAGGAGCACAGAAATATCTTCATCGCAAACTAAATCGGTTGTCGTAGACATGCGTTGTTGGTGAGCTCAATTTTATGGCGTGCGTCAGTTCTACTTTCAAATCCATTGAATATGTTCCATGTTGACTTGCTTTAAATGAATATGTTCCAGGTTGACAGTAACAAACTTTGCAGATTCTGAACCTGAACAGATGAATCAAGCATGAAAAGAGAAGATATTTCTAACTATCGACAAAACACTTCAGTTGGATGAAAAAGGAGAATTCTGCTGCAAAAGTCTAGTATCTTGAGTCCATCATCCGCAGGCATACGTACACGTTGTAATGTCTATGATTAGACCAAATTGAAGAGATGATAAAGAGCAGGAAATCTTTTAATGGCATTTCGAAGCTGCGACGAAGATCGCTATACTTTCTCATGTCAATGCGCAAATCGGCTGAACATCAAGTCTGAGCCAGATTAAGTCAAGTGCGGGCTCTTTTATGAAGCTTTTACATGCATTGGGCAACCTATGCTGCAATACTGTGTAATCTTGTAAGCCAATTTACTGTAAGATTACTAACAGCACCGTACTGTAAAGACTTCCAAGCAAAAAGTCTCTGATATCATCATATAACGGAAGTATGGTCAATCAAGCCTCGATGTTTGTTTTCAGGTTACTTCGACTCAAAAGTTTCACATAGATTTATTTTCAAATTACAAAAGATATTAATAGCCACAATTGGTCTCATTGCTAGCTGATCAGTGCATGGGCACGGCATCAATACCAGTCATACAGAACCTCCCGATCTGGTTTCTTCTTGTGTCGCCTACGTTTGCGACGTCGACAGATAATGCGAAGGAGTCTACCAAGATTCTCTGCGTGATAATGGACCTTGTCGGAAGTATCGAACTTTTTTGATGCTCTCGAAAAGCAGCTGGTTAAAACTAAACAATGTAAACATATTTTATACTTCCTAGCACAGATGCACCACAAATGATCAATATGCGCTAATTTCTTTTTAATCATCTTTAAAAGGGATTCTCGCTACCTCGCAAATGGAGAGTCTTTTATAAGTCGAAGCCTCTTGAGTGCTGCTTCATGACACGTAAGGATATCAGTTAGGAGAACACTCTTTTGCTGAATCTTCTTTTGAATGCTTATGAAGATTTCAAAGATGTCACCTACAAAAAAAGTCAGCCATATCTATTTTTCTTCTCATACCTTTTTAAAAAACTTAAAAGACCTTTCGCGTCTCCATACCTCTTTGCACGCATTCATGTTGGCAATGGCAGCATAGGTCAATTTAAGACAAAATTTTTGCACAATCCTTCGCTCCTTCAACCCTTTTTTGCAACAACGGCAAAATTTTGCACTTTAGTTGACTTTGCAATGTGATTAGCATGTAAGAAAATTCTTACTTTTGTAGGGCCATCTGTTTTTAGAAATTACACAACAACATGTGCACAAATGGCAACCTCGTCGCAGTGCTGTTATCAGCAGCATCGAAGAGAATCAGTCTCTGCTGCTTTTTAGTTGTAGAAACAACTCATAATTATGAATGTTGTCATATTTTCTTAGATAAACAAGCTTTTGTTAGTTAGGAAATGTCAATTTCCCAGGCATTAAAATTTCCTCTGCAATAAACATTTCACAATTGCATGAAAATGTTTAAACATTGCCATTTAAATTGATCTGCCATCTTCATATCCACTAAATAGAATCACAATGGTCTTGAATGAAATTCTGTGTAGATGGAGTACGTAGAGGAGTGACTTGCCCCCTCGTTACTTTAGTTGCTTTTATTAATGTCTGCCATACTGTTTTCTAACAGAGAAAATGGCACCAACTAGCATCTCTTGAATTTTACTGAGAAAAGGAATGTTTGATTAAGAATTTAGCAGGCTATTTTTGTGAAGACAAGCACTGCAAGAATTCTATAATCAGATAAGAAAAAGTTTTACCCAAGAGAATCTTAGGACCATGTCAAGAATTTGTCAAAAACAAATTGAATTAAGTTGTCAAAGTTTTTGGTGAAACTTCACTAAGTACCCATAATGAAGCGATTTTCATTCCAATCAAGCATGTTTTCTAAATTTCAAGATTTTTGTGCCAGTTATGTTTAGGATTTAGCTTCTATCATATTCAAGAAGGTATTTAACAGCCGGATTCGATGTCAAAAATTTTACATGCAAGTCCCTTCACGTCAAACCGCTAACGATCAGTAAGTCTAAATGCATTTTAGCATAATCGTTGCAAAACTCATTTTAAGTTCTGTATGTCTATATGTGGTGATTGCCAGGAAGTGACTTATATTCATAAAAGCGAAGAGGTTCTAAAATATTATATCCTACTTTTTTCATATCAAAAAGCTCTTTGTTACAAACCATATCAAATGGTAATTGCTAGAGTATCAAAAGATTATGTAATTCATCAAGTAAGTCATTGTTAATTAAAAGAAAT